GCCACGGAGCGCCCAGCCTCGGCTCTGCCTTGGCGCAGCCCGATCACTTGCCGATGTGTCCATCACGCAACCAATGGTCATTAGTGAGTCAGCAAGAGCCGGGCCTGGCCGGCCGGGCTTGTGCGCCTCAAGGGAGAGCCCCGCGGTCTCGCCCCGCCCCGCCCCGCCCCGCCCCGCCCCGCCACGCAGACGATACCCGCCACCAGCCTTTATATACACATTCAAACGTTAACAATCATGCTCCAGCCCGCGGAAGATTTTTCTCGACGTGGAAAAAAATATGCACGCCGGCGGCGGCGCGGGGAGTCGAACCCACAACCTGCTGCACCGCGTCTTAACGGCCGCGGCCGCGGAATGGTCTTGACGCGGTGTAATGCGCGCTGCCCTACATGGAGAGGGCTAATGGTGTGCCGAAAACCCCGGCGCGCTTTCTCGTCCTGCTCCTCGTGGCCGTGCTGGCCGTGCTGGCCGTGCCGGCCCCTACACCCCTACGGCCGCGTTGACGCCGTTGACGCTGCTGCAGTGTAGGTACTGCAGTGCCGCAGCAGAGAGCCGCCGCGTCGCCAGCCCCATTCCGGGGGTAATTAAAACGCGCTCGTCTGTGTGCAATGTCCGCGTGCTCGGCGTTCCGCCCGAGTTTTTCCTCTGTTCGACGCGGGCCGCACTCATCAGCGGCCCGCTGGACACTCCGGACCGCTCCGCTCCGGACACTTGATACCGCGAAGCGCCGCGGCGCGCCGTCCCGCTGCAGCCATCCAGCCTCCAGCGGCCTCCAGCGGCCTCCAGTGCAGCGGCCTGCAGCCGGACTCCTACAACGGGTCCCGTTCGGGCCGGGATGAGCGCGGTGACCGGCCGCGCCGGCCGACTTGCCGGGGTTGCGTTATAGTCTTGCGTGGCGGCGTGGCGGCCTGGCGCGGTGAGGGGCACTAAAGGCGGACGGGTTTGCCGTCGAGCAGGCCGTCGAGCAAATCCAGCTGCAGCAGCACGCCGCGCGGGTTCGCATACCGCCCGGGCAGTACCACAAAGGACCGCGCGGAAAGCGGAAATCGGCCGCGAAGCAGGGCTCTGGTTCTGTCTGCCTCGCACCTTGACGTGATCCCCGATGAGTGCGAGAGAGACAGAATGACGGAAACGACTCTCGGAGCCAGTGCGAGCGAGTGCGAGTGATGGATCAGGGAACGCGACTGCAAATCCGGTCAGCAGGTGGACGGTACCGGTCCGGCCCGGCAGTCTCCCGCAGTCTCCGGCCAGGAAAACGGCATGGCGACGTCGCAGCGCGGAGAGCGGAGCGGAGCAGCGGAGAGGCAGCGGGGCTTTCAGGAAGTCGTAGAGCGCGCGGTGCGGCGGTGCGCGGAATGGTGATCGGGGATCACCTGTCGCTAGCCCACGTAGGCAGGCAGGCCGGCCACGTCGCCAGACCCACATTCACATTCGCCTTGACAGTAATCGCCACATTCACATTCGCATTGGCGATGTGTTTACATTTCCATTCACATTATTATACACTTAAGTGTCCACGCCCGTGGCGGGAAAAGGGGAAAGGGAGGGGGGGGGTCATTTCTCCAAAGTGACGCGCTCCACTCCGCGGTCCCGCGTCTTGAACCCGAGCGCCGCGCCGCTGCACCCTCCTTCCCAGATGAGTAATTAGCAGAGGACGCGCCTCTCTCTTTCTCTGTCCCGCTCGTCAACGTCCCCGGCGTGATGTCTCACTCGCTCCGCCACGTCCTCTGCTTGATAAATGGTCCGATCCTGACCCAGGCCGTGCCGTGCCGCGCCGTGCCGTGCCACACGTCGTCCTGGACACGGAGCGCCCGCGGCGCCACGGTCCACACCGCGCCAATCGGCAAAGCCTCGGCCAAAGCCAACCGGGCCGGGCCACATCCCCCGGTGCGGCACGAACTGGGGCCTGGGTCTGGGGTTCGAATCTCGGCCACGGATCTAAATTTTTTTTTGTGAACTCCGCGGAGGCAGATAAACGCGACGAGTCTGCAACCGCTTCGCCCGCCTTGAGGAGTATCTGAATTGTAGATGATGATGGCTTTGATGAAATCCCCCGCCGGATCCGCGTCGGCGTCGTCGGCGACGTCGGCGTCCCGGACCTTAATCGGCCACTTGGGCGTCGTGTCGGCGGGAAGGGTTCTGCCGGTGTGGCCGGTACGGCGCCGGGACCATCAGGATGGGGATTGCGTCGGCGGGCCAGGCCGTGGCCACGCCGTCCTCGTGACGCAGGTGGACCCGGGGGACCTCCAGGACCTCCTCGTGTTGTGTCTGCAGCAGGTAGCAGGTGTCATTACACGTAATTTGAGATGAGCCGGGCTTCCTCTCGGCCGCCGAGCCGCCGGCGGATCCAGGAGCAGGAGGGGGACGGGGCAGCGGTATGCGGGTGGGTGGGTGCGCAACCGGTAAAGGATTGGGGGGGGGGGCTCCGAACGTTGCATCTGTCCCTCTCGAACCCTTCCGAAACGCTCCGTGAGTGTGAGAGAGACGGGGGAGGATGAGGCGCACGGATAAATGGGGATAAAACAGTGTGCGTAATAACGGCAGTGCCCGGCGAGCATTGTTCTGTCAGCTCGGAAATTCATTTCGGAGGGACGGGGCTGGCCAGCCATTGGGCCAGCCGGCCGGCCGGACACGATGAGTGGCGTCGGCGTCGTCTGGGCGTCGCGGCGGCCTCGACGACCACGCCGAGGGGCAGAGCAGCGCCAAGCAGCGCCAACGGGGGCCGACGGGACGGGCCATGCGGAGGGAGACCACTTCCTGGAAACCATTTGGCGTTCAACTAGAAAGCACTTGGCGCTTCTTCCTCTTTTTCGTGCCGTGCTGCCTGCGGGGCCTGCGGCATGTATTCGTCGCCTCGCCAGCCCCGCTGGCCCCGCTGCTGCAGTGCTATGGCAGTGCTGCCGCGAGATCCCCGTGTCGACAGACCGCAGTGGCACCACGACGGCGCCCCTCCCCGTCATGTCGCACACACAGAGCAGAGGCCGTCTCGTCTCCGCGACGACCGCAGACCAAGGCAGGGACCGCAGGACCGCAGGCACCAAGGCGGGGAGGGGACGCAGGGCGACCAGGCCGACCACAGCGGCGGCGGCGTGGCACGGCATGGCGGCGCCCATCGCCGGAGGAGCAAAGAAACGGGCGCCGGGTCCCGACCGCCCCCAAGACCGCCCCGCCGCCGCCCTTCGCCCTGTTGCGCGGCGGGCCGCGAGGTGCTGCAGGACGACGACGACGTAACCCAGAATGACTTGGTCCGCCCACGAACCGAGAGAGGACGCCGCGCGGCGCGGGGCGGGGGTCGCAGCAGGTCCCGACCCGACGCTTCGTCAGCAACCGCTGCCCCGTCCCGTCCGAATCGGTAAACGCCGGGGGATGGAAATCGAAGCCCCTTGGCTGTCTGAATTTCTCTGTGCTAGCTGGCTAGCGGGGCCGTTGCCAACCGCGCCAATTACACCGTAAAATGGAACTGGAATGGCGGCGGCGCCTCCGCGGCCCCGCGTCAGTCCGTCAGTCCCGCGCGAGTGCGACGAGGGAAGGAAAGTGACGCGCAGTGGGCCCTGCCTGCAGCCGTGCGCCGTGCTCGTGCTTGCCCCGGCTCGCCTTGCTGCAGCAGTGCTCCAGCGGCGCACATCTCCATAAAGACCCCCGTCCCGGCCCCCGTTTGCGCAGCGCCGTGCGCGCAGCATGCGCAGCTCGTAGGTAATTAAGCGATCTGCAGCCAAAGATCAATAGGCCTCCGCCTAGATCACGATGCATTAATGCACGCCGGGCGGGGCGGGGCGCGGCCCTGCAGTGCGGGGCCGGCGGCGGCGCTGGACTAGTTTTTCGCGCTGCTTACGTCAACTGGCGCGGAATACGTATAACGGCCTGCAATGCACTGCCATGCGCTGCAATGCGTGGGGAGGAAGTCGCCGCGTTTAGCGTTTAGCAATGTACGCGCGCTACGACGGCCGACCGACACTTATTATGACTTGATTTTTATTTGGTGCGCTGCACGCCGCGCGGCCGAACCCCCCACGGCGCGGCGCCGCCTGGTCGTGTTTCGCGGATTCGCTTCCTCGGTGCGAACCTAGTTTTGGTTTTCACTGCGCAGCCTGGAGCAGCCTCGACGGGAGCAGTCCGCCGCGCTGGCAGGAGAGACGCCGCGGCCCCGGGGCCGGGCTGGCTCCATCCATTGTGCTCCCCAGCACATAAACCTAGAAACAGAAACTGTTCGCTTGGCCTCTGGCCCGGCCCGCAGCCCTAGAGTCCTAGAGTGTACACAGGCCGGGTTACGACTCTGCGATTGGCCTGGCCGGGCCGGGCCGGGGGGTCCGCTTGTTCAAATAACGACCCGGCCGTTGTTGGCAGCGGCGTGGCTTCAATTGCACCGAGACAGTCGAGACAGGTGCCACCGAGGGGCGTGGCCGGCGTGGCTGGCGTGGCCGAGGGACTGGAGTCGGACAGGCGGTGGAGGAGCAGGCGATGCCCCGATGCCGGCGCCAAGGCGCGAGCGGCGCGGGCCGTGAGCTGCGAGTGCACGCTCCACGCTGCGCAGTGCTCGGCCCTGCTCCGCGGCCCGCACAAGAAAGGCGCCGTAATGGCCAGCACCCGGGCTGCTTCATTAGCACAGCAGCCGGACCGGCCGGGACGGGGCGGGACGCGGCCATGCTGGCCATGCTGACCCTGCAGCGCTCCCTTCGTCCTCGCCGGCCTTGCTTCGCGAGCTTCGCGGCGTGGAGAGCCGAGCGCCCGCGGAGTCCAGGGTAGGCAACCCAGCGCGGCAGGCCGTCTCGGCGGCGCTGCCTACCCTGGACTCCGCGGGCGCTCCGCTGACGCGCACCTCTACCTTTACTGTCTCTTTTATTCCCACTGCACCCGACTGACCCCATGTCCTTGTTGTTGCAGGCGTTATGCGTCGCGGGTGGCCGCTGCCTCCAGTGCTGCTGCTGCTGCTGCCCGCGCTGCTGGGGGTCCGCGGCCACGGCGGCACCGACGTCGCCGCCAAGCTCCGCCATTCGCGCGGGGCGTTCGGCGCGTTCGGCGCGGGCCCGGCGTACGGCGCCGCCCTGGACGAGCTCGAGCTGCTCGCGCAGATCGCGGACGCGCCGGTCGACGACGGTAAGGTTCCGAGTTTCACCCACTGCCAATCAATCAGGCCGGGGCTGGCGCGGTTTTACAGTGGCCGGGGGGCGTTCCGCGGGGCTGGACGGACCGCGGGACGCTCGCTGAAATAATTTACTCTACCGGCATGCCGTCAGCCTCTCTCTCTCTCCTCGTGGCCTTTCGCCCGTTCAATGGTTGCTCTGCCTCTAAACTTGGCTGCGCAGGGCAATAAAAATGTAGCTGAGCTGCCATAAAGACGTACTGAACTGGAACACACTGGGCTAGGCGCGGTCGGTGCGGCGCGGCGTGCGGATCAGAGCCCTGGGCCTGGAGGCCTGGACGGCCTGGACGGGGTACCGCGGCGCCACACTCCAGTGGCCACACTCCAGTGGCCACATCCAGCAGTGAATGGGCTGGGCAGCTGGCGGCAGCAAGGGAAAGGGGTTGACCTTCCGATCAAAGGCGGGGAAGAGAAGAGAAGAGAACACCATACAGCTCTCTGGCGGCGCCGCGCCGCGTGCCGGGGCCTGCCATGGCGTTGCGCCGGCGGCGTGCCGACGGACGGGTACGGGTATCGGTGTAGGGTTGCGGTGAAAGCACGGCACAAAGCCCTTCGTCACATCGTGGACGTGGCGGGACGTGGCGGCCGCCGCCGCGTTTTCAGCGCGTTTTTGCCCGGCCCGCGTGGCTGGCGTGGCGCGGCGCGAGGCGTTTCCCGTTCCGCGCCGTGCCGTGCCTTTCTAATCGTCGCGACAGACCGGCACACCGGCACACCGGCACCGCACCGAGCCGCGTTTATATCCGCCGTCGGCGGCGGCGCGGCGGCCGGGGGCTCCGGGGAAGTGACGCCAGCAGGCCGGATCGCGGCCCTCCATGAGTGCGAGAGAGACAGAGCGGCCAAAGAGTTCGCAACCAGCCCGCAGGCGAGGCGAGGGGCATAGCAAACAATTATGCCGGCCGTTCCGTTCCGCGCCGTCGAAATAACCGCAGCTGCAGCGGCCCTCGCGGAGGCCCTTGCGGAGGCCCGCCGTCGCCGAGCTGTCGCGCTATGGCCGCGCCGCGTTGCCCTCGCCTTCGCGTTCTCACACGCCTGCAACTGTCGGGGCTTCAGCCCGGGGGCCCGTTTCGCTGTCTCTGTCGCACTCATGGGGCCGAGAGGGCGCGGCAGCCTCTGCCTTCGGAGGTCCTCGGGGTCCTTGGCCGCGGTGGCAACGCCATGCACTCCTTGACGCGTTCGCCGACTCGCGTCCCGTACGTGTCACTCGTAACGACGCCACTGATAACCATTGGCGTTCTGTGCCGACGGGAAAAACGGCCTCGGGCTGCCCGTCGCCGTCGTCCTCCTCGGCGCGCTCATGGCGTGATGGATGTAATGCGACAAATTGAGAGGAAGGCGGTAGATTGGTGGGCGGGGCGAGAGAGCTCACGAGAGAAATAAATAATGATGTGTTTGTTTCTGCGTCAAGCATTACTCTCTGACGATTCTCACGTGGAAGGTGCACCGAGTCCTCTCTTCCCCTTCCCTCCCACGCCCGCGCGGCCTGGCGTGGCCCCGGGGTGCCAGTTCCAGGTTCCAGCACGCACTCGCGGCATCTCTTCCCTTTCTTCCCTCGGTGGACACTGCTTCAGTTTGTTTTTGTCGCTACCGGTGCTGCCGGTCCCGGCCGTCGCGTGGCTCATCAGTACCGGGGCTGAGAAAGGCAACGGGACGGGACGGGACGGGATGGGGCCGCCATGCCGATTTGTAAAGCCCCGCGGCTCCCACAATCTGAGACGCGATCTCATCATTTGTCGCCAGATGAAAACTGGGCTCGAGGGGGGGGGGATAAAAAAACGTGTAGCTTGCTCTGCCGAAGGTGAGAATTGCTGCGTGACTAATATGGTGCGTTCTCGTGTGTCCACAGGGAAGCTGACGTGCTTCACGTGCACCAACGGCACGGACAACGACCAGTGCAACAAGTACGCCGTCGACCGGCCGTGCGAACCTGGTGAGCCTAGCAACAAGTCCAGTGAAGTTAGCGAAGCTGCGCAGAGGAACCTCATTCACTTAAAAATTATTTTGGCTGTTTGATTCTCTGTAACGACGTGTTTGGTGTTGCAGGGCTGACCCTGTGTCGCACGGACCACGTGATTGAGCGCTTCCCCGTGCCCGTGGCGGGGGTGGGGGCGGGGGCGGGCGGTGCGGCCGGCGCCCCCTCGCGGCCCCGCAGCGTCCGCATCACCAAGTCCTGCGTGGCTGCCTCCGAGTGTTCCCGGGCCTCAGTCGGCTGCCGGGGCGTTGCTGGGGACTCGACGTACTTGCGAGTGAGTAGTCAAGTGAATCGTTCACAACTGATCCATAGGTCATTTTGTTTTTCAATTCTTGAAATACCTTTCGTTCTTGTTTCCAAGACATGTTTCGCCTATTTTACAGGTGTGTACCTCGTGTTGTGACTGGAGCTACTGCAATGAGCTGGCCCCGGCGGACACTCTCACGGCGGTGCTGGCTCTGTCTCGGAACACTGCCGGTGTCATACGACCTCTGCCAGCTCTGAGCACCGTGACTGTCTTTGTCTTGCTCTCGGTCATTTCAGATGTCTTCTAGTCAATGAAGGCAATGGGAATGGGGCTATTACCAAAGGAAAAAAATACTATGTATTACCGACTGAATGGACTTCTCAAGTAGAACGTATTCATTCATGTAAAGTAATTTAGAGGTCTGATTGTGGCTCTGTGATGTCTCAAGTCACCCTTATATATACTGTATAGTTTTTTGTCTAAGTTCTAGTACGAGTAAAATTCATGTACAAAATGTATAAAGATATTAAAAACTGTTGCATTTGAGGTTTTTTTCTAGTTTGTGTGTCCTTTCTTATTTCTGACCCTACTATATTGATTGTTGGTGGTAGAAAATAGGAAACAATCATAAGACACAAAATAACATAAGAAAAATATGTAATTTATTCTATGATAAAAGGTAAATTATTTTCTCCAAACACTAGGACGTCCTCTAAGACCTGGTCTGATGAGTTTCTTCCTCTCCTGCCTGTGTTTTCTCATCTTCTCATCCTCTTTGTCATCCCGTTTCACCTACAAGAAATCAGAAAGAAAATGTATAAAAGAACATACTGTAATGAAAAATTTTCATTCATATAATTGCGAAAAGATGTACATACCTTTAGTGTACTGAATGTCATCTCCCTGTTCCCAGAGAAGCCTATCTTTGCAACTGAATGATCCTCACGCTCCAAACGCTCCCCCAAACTTGTTCTAAAATTAATACAATTTGAAATTTTTTTTAAAAGAAATTCTTGGGTGTCATAGTAAAAAAATTATACAGTAATCATTAAACGAAGATTGACTTACTTCAATACTTGTTTCCGCTTCATTCCTTGCCTGATTCCCTTGAATTCTTCTCCTGGACGAAGTTCGAAGAATTTTGGCTGCTTTGTATTGCTACTAGTTCCTTCTGATGATTGTCTACTCATCTCTCTCTCTTCTATCTCTTTTACTTTCCGTTCTTTACGGATCAGGCGGTGCTGCATCTGCACTTCCTTCTTCCATTCGTTGTCATCATCTGAACTTGATGCAAAGTCAGATTCACCATCAGACTGTGGTTTTTCATCCTCCCCATCCTAAAATTATTGAGAGCAAGTTCATTGCAAAATAAAGTAAAACAAAAATATAAAAGTGATTCATGCAATGTATACTTACATCCACCTCTTCAAATTGAGTCTGGCTCATTGCTTGTTTCTTTGTTTCCTTCTTATTCGTCCTATCAACTCTTGATAATACTGGGTTCAGTAGCCTGGAAATAGGAAAAGGAAAATCAAGAATAAGAATAGTAGATCATTTTGTCAGAAGTCATGCATAATAATGATATAAAGGAGACAGTACCTATACTCTTCAGCATTTTTGTCAACCTGGAACTCAGGGTTCTCAAACAGAGCTTTGAAACGATCATCTTTGAGTAAGTTGGATCCTTGCTTATTTTTCTTGTTAGTTTCATCCATCATCTTCATAGCTAAATCTTTGTTAACCTTAGGTAATTTCTGTCAAACATAAAATAAAACACTTCAGCGACACATATTTAAAAAAAAAGTAAGTACAGTAATTCAGAGCTGAAAATGTGGAATATTGAGGACAAAGTGAGAATAAGTATACCTGCAAAACAACTCTGTTTGTTCGCTCTTCCTCAATCTTTTCCTTTATCTTCTTCTTTCTGTACTGTTCAAACTCAAATGGATCAGCCACAGTCCTAGCCTTTTTGTATAATCTGATATCCATGAAGTATCCATGCATATATGCTCTGAGAAGATTAGTTCCTGGAAACACACAAATTAAATCAACAGTCACAATCGATAGTCACAAGAAAAAATCTCACAGCAGAAATACCAACCAATGAGGTGATCCAAGCCCAGATCTTCCAGCTCCCGCTTAGTGACAAACTTGTAATCATCATACATAGTTTCTGTTCTGCTCTCTTCCATTTCCTCAGTGAGGTTGTCCAGGAAACTGCACCATCTTGGGGCAGGACCCAGGCTCTGAAATCAACAAAGTAGTCTCCGAGTAAAATGAAATTCATCATGATTAATCTTGCACAAGGTTTAAACTTACAGGAATATAGAATGTTTGCATCTTGGGGCTCTCGGTAGCAAGGAAGAACATTCCAGAATTGGGTACTAAACAAAGATCATTGAACTGAGAACTTGCCTCAATAGACGTGAATATCTTTCCCTGTAAAACAAAAAATGTAAATGCAATCAAGACTTTCAATCATGGTTTAACATTACTGAGCTGGATAAAAGCTTACATTATTACGATCCCATATTTTAACAACAGAACTGTCCATTGAAAGTACTAGATCTTGCTGTTGATGGAAAGCTATGTTCTTGATGGGCAAGTTGTACATATGATCTTTTGTCTGAAATGGTTTGTTAGCTCTAATATCATAGAGTAAAATTTGTCCTGTTGCAGTACCTACTCCCATGGTAAGAGCCCCATTGAATGAGACATGGGTCACTGATGGAAATGTCTCTAGCCTGTAAAAAGAGAAGGAAAAATGTTTTGTTTAGAGAATGGTTTATCTCCTGGTTTGCAATGACGTCAAATGAAAACAAAAACAACATAACGCACTTGTTCTCTGCAACAACATCCAAAGCACAATCCAAAATGCCAACACGAGAGCGAGATCGTGGATCCCAGGCCTCAATTTTCCCTTCTTTTGTACCACACACAAGAAGGTGGTGAACAGGATTAATATTACAACACATAATATCGGAAGATTCTGAAGTGAAAGGACTCATGTACTGTCCTCTTTCTAAATTCAATCGATAGATATCTGGACTGGAGAGGACAATGAACTCAAATTAACAACAATCTCACCAAATATTTTAAAAACTTGAGGGAAAAAAAACAAAGAATACCTTGAACCAACTAAAAATACATCACAGGAGGGATAATGATACTTCATGTCATGTCCAAATTTAGGTATTCTAAGACGGTAGTAGCGGCCTGGGCCAGAATGGATTTCTACATATCGGTCACACTGAAGGAACACCATCTGAAACAACAAAAGAAAATATATCATTGTGATTCGACGATTGGATTGCAAGAAGAAACAGAGTTTACTGTACCTTTGTATAATCATCAGAAAGAATTTCAAATGTTACTACTTCTGAGTCAAAACATCTCTCAAATTTTTGAGACAATTGGTGAACATCAAAACATTTCACCCGAGGTTTATAAATTCCTGTGACCATTAGGAACTGCCCATCTTTAGAGAGGCGTATGGATGTACTAAGGCCTGGCATATCGAAGTCTTGAATAAGTTCAATACGTCTGCGTATGTCTGTAACAAATCAAATGCAGGTCTTCAGAAACTTCAAAAAGCACTAGATGAGCGAAATTCTTTCAAGGATCAAAAATACGCACCAACATTACTCTTTTGTAAGTGCCTTCTCTTTCTATCTGATAACCACTAAAATAATAAAACAAGAAAAACAGTCGGTTTAATATTTAATGTAAGGAAAAATAGAAGTTTGCTACAAGTTCTTGAAATAATCACTGCCATTGGGTGAGTGTTGATGTGAACTTACCTCAGGGAGTGATTTGCCAGCACTAAGGTTGTAAATTTTGACATTATTGTGGTCTGTCACCTGCATCTTTTCATTCGGTAAGATGCTCCAACACGATTAAACAAGAACACACAATCCTTATTTCAAATTTCTCTTGAAACTAAGAAATGTAACCATGCTCCATGCATGGGCTGTCTGCACGCTCTGTTTTCATTTCTTATTCACCATTTCTTCTTTTCCTTATCTGTTCCAAAACAGATGACCGAAACCTGATCATCTTTTGCGGTCAAACCACCTTCTCCTGGTTTCATGCCACAAATTTGCATCAGATTATGTAGAGTCGTCAAGATATTTTAAAGGAGGATGTTAAGAAGCACATTTATGACTTAAATGGTACAGATTTAATTTTTTACTAACATGTCTCATGCGAGCGTTACAGAACGTACCCACCCAAACTATCGTTTCGTTTGCTAATGGGTGCCCGGTGAGAGTGGGAGAGGCTCTATCGTCTGATACAAGCCGATTTTATGAGAAACGGAGGAATATGTCAAGCTTGAAAATTGGTGAGAATAATTTATGGTTCTCTACTGTATCTGCTGAAACAATTTGAATGGCGCTAGGTCCTGGAGACTGCTGGAATCCTCGCTCGCAGTACTCCAGTATATCGGTCCTTTACCCCACTGTTCATTTGCTACCTATAAGGAGATGTTCTACTTGTTCTTTAGTCTAGTTCTAATTAAAAGAAAGCTAAGTTGCCTCGTTATTTCCAAGATTTTGTTGATTTACTTTCGGGACTCAATGATTTGCGTTAGAGTTCGCTAACTAAATGCAGGTTAGGTCATCAGTTATGAGTCATATGTTTCCTTAATTTACCTTTTACTATGTAGTCTTTGCAAAACGTTTTTGCACAGATCAAATTTGAATAAATTGTGTACAGATTCTTTGTAAAAATTTCAATCTCTGGTACCCCAGCTTCCAGAGGGGAGGAATACTTAGATACCATTTGACAGTTGTAGACCATTTTCTCAAGGGCCTTGACAATAGGTACAATGAATGTACCTTCAACTTTTTTGCCTGTGGAATATGCAAATGCATAAAATTTTTCAATTTATGCAGGGAACACGATGGTCTCACAGTGGAGTTCCCATCCTTTCGTCGAATATATTGTATACGTAGTGCCTATAGCATTTGTAGTTCATTGTGGATGGCACCTCCAACTTAGTTTGTTTTAAGTTATTATTAAATGTTTCTGTTAGTTTTCTATAGACCTGTATTGTCCAATAGCATGAATGGCCATTAGTCTTCTTTTCCACTCATTCGGCATCTTTTGACACAAATTTTTAAAATTATCACCTTCAGTTTCTATTAGTTTTTTCCCATTTCCTTCCTTATATTTTCTCTTGGCTTTTTAATTACTATCTTTTAGTTTTTTGTGTTTGAAACTTGTCTATACTGTGCATTTTGCTCAGGTGTATAGTTACCCTCTTCCTTTCTTGAACACATTTTAGTGAGCATGGTAGTTCTAGTAATAGTGCCACTGTTTTTTTTCCTTTTGTTTTAGTATGATTTAACTTGTTGGCGTGTGGTATGATGCAAGCGGTTGATGCAGTGGCTTGCTGAGGTTGATGTGGCAGGCGCATGGCGCACCCACCTGCACCCAGCAGTGCGTCGTGCTATGCATCGTGCCTATCTGCGTGCCACTCCTTGTGCCACGCTCACTGCCTAGCCCACGCTAATCTCGTCTACAAAAAGATCTTGTACGAGCGACCCCCTCAACACATGGCTGCAATGCGTTCGCATGGTAAATTTTGTGTCATCCCCTCCCCTTAGCGATCCTTGAATAGCATGTTACAAATTTGTGGGCTAATGCATTATTTTCCTATTTCTATTTTCTAGGGAAAGCCAGCCAAGATGATGTGTGCTACGTTGTTGCAAAGTATGACTACACTGCTCAAGGTGCGCAGGAGCTGGATCTTCGCAAAAACGAACGTTATGTGCTGCTTGATGACTCAAAACACTGGTGGCGCGTCCAGAATGCAAGAAGTCAAGCAGGCTATGTCCCAAGCAATTATGTTAAGAAAGATAAACCTTCTTTATTTGACAGGTAAAGACGAATTTCTCTTCTACTGTTTTGTTTAAGATGGTCTAAATATTATGTGTTGTATTTTAACTTACAGCATCAAAAAGAAGGTTAAAAAGGGATCTGGTTCAAAAACACTTCCCTCTGGAAACTCTCCATCTAGAGCTATGGAATCTCCAACAATGGCACGGCGCTTACCTGCAGACCCATCTGAAGCAATCGGCACTGCAATTGTGAAGTACAACTATCAAGCTCAGCAACCAGATGAATTATCACTAGTCAAGGTAGATGGTAACGCAATTGAACTGCTCTGTCAATGATTGTATTCACTCACTAATTTTTTCAATTTATTTGCAGGGTACTCGTATCCTGATCTTAGAAAAGAGCAATGATGGTTGGTGGAGAGGCCAGAGTGGTGGTCAGGCTGGTTGGTTCCCTTCCAACTACACCCAGGCTGAGTGTGATGCAGATGACACTCTACATACTTATGCTATGGCAGAGAATGTCCTTGATATAGTAGTTGCGTTGTATTCATTCAACTCAACAAATGACCAAGAATTGTCATTTGAGAAGGGCGACCGTTTGGAAATTCTGGATCGCCCTCCATCAGACCCAGAGTGGTACAAGGCTAGGAATGGTCAGGGGCAAATAGGACTGGTGCCACGTAATTACCTTCAGGTTTGTATCGGATTGAGGTATACTGTATGCCATGTGATTTATGATGAAACTGTATTTATGGTCTCAATTCATTCTACCATGTAGGAATTGAGTGAGTACCTTACCCAACCTTACCAAAACCGTATTGGTGGAGGAGTGGAATCAATAGATCGTCGTCAGAATAGCAACAACACTGCACCCCGTACTCTTGAAAGACCACACTTGCTGGGCAAGCCATGGTACTATGGAAGTGTTACTCGGGCGCAATGTGACACTTTATTGAACCAACAAGGTCATGACGGTGACTTCCTTATACGGGACAGTGAAACAAATGTATGTAACTTATATATATCGCTTTTGCATGCTGTGCATGGTTTAAATACACATAAGCATCATAAAAAAATTGATTTGTTGTTGTTCTCTTTTTCTTGTTTTAGATGGGTGATTATTCAGTGTCACTCAAGGCCCCTGGCAGGAATAAGCATTTTCGAGTTCATGTGGAAGGTGCACTCTATTGCATTGGTCAACGCAAATTCCACACTCTGGAACAGCTTGTTGACCATTATCAACGTGCCCCTATCTACACTAATAAGCAAGGAGAAAAGCTTTACCTTGTGCGCCCCCTACCTCGACCAGCTCAGACGTAAATACTTTCTGTATGTGTGTGTTGTGACTGTTAGCCCCTGTGGGCCTGTATGGCAGTCTGGTGTTAATCCGATTGCTCTACAACTTTGGAATTTTGTATGAATGTTTTTTAACTTACCATTTTTTAACAAAAATTAGCCAATAGACTAAGAATTCAGTCCAATCAAACTAAATGCAGAATGCATTTTAAATAAATTAGGAACAATTTATTATTGACTTATGCAGTTGTAGGAGTGAAGTCTTGCATGTTGTGTGCTTGACTTCTGACCATTTTAGTTTATGATTAACTATATTTCCTGTATCAATATTCTTGTGTAAGTAAAGCAATGTATTGATTTGTTTAAATGGAGTACTACACAAGCTTAGTTAAATTCATTCTGTGTTGAATTTGAACAAGAACCTAAATGTCATTGGTTATGTTCAGGAAATCTTATAGGACTTAAATATTTTGTAGTTGGTGGAAGAGGCTGTTGACGGTTGTTCACTTTATTTCAGACCTACATCTAGCTTCTTATGTTGAACATCTTTTTTAAATCTCAATAGCTCTCCTCACTGCCAAGATATAATAATTCCCAGAGGAGTAGCATGGGTGTGCATGCTAAACATGATATTAGCCATCCTGGATAAATTGTTGGTTTTGTTTTTTGTTTTGCTTGCAATGTAAACCCACTTTCTCCTTCGCAGAGTCAGGGTTAAGTAATTTGATCAAACCCTGCAAACATATTATGTGCACAAGATTTTCATTTTGGAAGTTTTAACTGATAAAACTTAACTAAGCATATATGATCGCTTTTAAAATGCATTACACTCTAATTGCAACTCTCTTTTTTTGTGCATTTTGATTTTTTCTTTAGTTTTGTTCTGAACTTCAGGAAGTGTGTCTTATTGGATATTCTGTGTGTGTTTGTGTGAATTTTCTTTTTCTTTGTGACAAAAAGATGTTCAAAGATGTGCTGAAGGAGTGTTTCTATGCACAGAAGGCCCCTGCTATCGTAGAGTGGCTTTTGTAATAAAAAGCAAAATTTATCCCTTTTTCTTTTGTGTTATCTAAGAGACAAAGGAAACATACTCTATCTGAAGTCTGAGCATTTTGTTTTGATTTTCTCTCTACAATTTGATAAATAATTTTTGTCTTTTAAACAATAAATTTTGACAGTTTTCCCGGTTGTAGACTGATTGTAGACTGATAATACAATACACGTTCAAATTGTAATTAGTTTTTGTTTATATCTTTGTATAGAATATTTATTTCACATAATGATTCAAAGTTGGCTTTGTAGTTTAAGTTGACTATATGGTGCATACAATTCTGCTCCTTGTTATTCTTTGCTTTGTTTTATTTTTCTTACTGTCCATTTTATGAATCTCTTTGTGCCGCTTAAGTGATGTGATACCTATATCTCTTTCTGGGACTGTTCAATACAGTGATGAAGCATGATATGAATTTGGATTGATTTTATCCTGTTACATCACATGCACTTAAATAAAACTCTAAGATCAATTTCTTGCAGTAACCAATTGTAATATTTCTATGGATCAAGACTTGAATAGCTCTGCATTCAGCTTAGTAACACGCTTTTTGGCGGGTTTTATAATATTGAATAAGTTTATTGCCATGTATTTAACCAAGTGAACTTGAATAGTACAAGCTTTACGTCCTTTGTGGTCTAGGATAACCAGAAATATTGTTTCTTCTGTGCAAGCCCTGCCACTTTTTACTGACAAAAAAAAATTTTGCTGGAAAAGCTCTTAATTATGGTGTTTTTCAAAACCACTTTAGTACTTGATATTTGCTTTGTGTAGATGTCTAATTTTAAAGAAACAGAGTAATGTTTGTTGTCTGTGTTTTGGAAGTTTTAGTGTGTTCTTTCCTTATATTGAAATGACTGATTTTGTGCTAGTATGGTTTACATCACAGTTCTTTATTGATGCTGTGTATTCCAAAATTATTTGAATTGGTGCTTTGTGCTTCTTTTAAGAACTAGTCAGAAGAAAAAATTAACAGGTTGAATGAATGGAAGGCAGTTATGACTATTTGCAGCATCCGGCTTGACCCTCTTCTTTTCCCATCATTCATTTCGTCATGTTTTCCTGAACATTGAATCTAATTGAGCTCTGCTGGTTGTAACACGCGTTAGTAACTTGAGATCTGGTTCTTGTAAGGTAATCAGACCCAGAGATAAGAGTACACTCTTTACTGATACTGTATTGTAAATCCTAAATTGCAGAATCACTGTAAATATGTAAGTCTCCAGGGCAACTTGTTTAAGGAGGCACCTAGTCACTCACCATCGATATTTGAAGAAAATCCTTCATTTTATAGGGGGACATGGGGCTTTTTTATAGTTTTAAATATTGTGTCAAACAGTGATTTTATACCGGTTTCTTTTACTGTAACCTTGGACGCACTGTATTCATTCTCAGAAAAGGAGTGAAACTACATAATTTTTGATGTGCAACTTTAACCAAAACAGAATTTTGTATGAATAGTGTGAATCCTTTCTTCCTCCATCTCGACTATTAGTATTTAATTAAAGTTTGTAAGTTGGAGAAAAACAATGTTGTTTTTTTGCAAAATGTTGCATGCTCAAATGGGAACGCAGCTGAAAGTCTGACAAGTAAACTGATGGACTGATGGGTTTGGTGGCCACATCCCTTTTGAAAGCATATCTAGAATGTAGTTGCTCCAGTTCATGTTTTTACTTTTCCCTTCCCATGGTTTATCAAGCCTCAAACAACTCTTAATGGTTCCTTATGAAAGGTTTAACCTAATTCTAGTTTATATTTTGTTAAATCCTTTTTACTGTCACCTCACATCTAGCAACTTTGAAAGCCTGTGCCATACTTTAAGTTATGTAAAGGGGGGGAAAGTTCTTTTAAGTTAGCTTTATTTTCAATTTCACATAAGGAGCGCTTTCTGATATTTGTATCCATTTCTTCTTGGCAGTTCACTCATTGATCTTCCTCTCTTTATAAGGAGTATATTTAATTCATGGCATGGGGACTAACAATCTTAAGCTGTTGTCTGTGAGAAACGGCAAGAGAAGGTTTTTACAAAAAGCATTGTGAGAAATAGTCATGGCTATTGAGACTTTGCTTTTGCGAGGACATTCACATTTATTTTACCTATAGAGTCAGTGTTATCAATTGTAAACACAAGGACAATGAATTTGTGGTACTTCCTTGTGCCATGCTTGGAGAGAAGACTCACTATTCAGTGCATCCTGTATTATTATTATGCATAAATAAACAATATTTATAGGTGAAATTGGTTTGTTATTTATCATCCTGGTCCAGGAAAACAAAGTGAGAAAACCCCAAACTAAATTGTTAAAAGAAGAAATTTAATCCATAAAAGGCAGGAACATATATACAAACTGTGCCACAATTAACTGAGATTTATCTTAGGTACTGGTGTTAAGTAAAAGGAGAAAATACGGTAATAACTGCACCCATAGAAGGTGTTTTACATTCCATCAGTGGTCCGGAAGTGAAAATCATCTATAGTTGTGTAGATGTGCCCCTCACTACACAAAGATTCTACTGCAGCACTGAAAAATGAACATACAGACATAAGCCATAGATAAAAACCTGAATTCAAAGTAGATCAGTATATAAAAAAATACTAACGTGATTTGCATTTTGCTGCCAGAGCCTTTGAGCTGTGCAACAAGTTCATCGATATGCACACCATTCACTTTAACACATTGCTGAAAATAAAATTTAAGGGGTACTTTAGACAAGCTTTTCTTTCAACATGGAACAGTTTTGATAATTATGAAAGTCATCATTAGTAACCCTTTCATCATGCAGGGCTCTGCATAAGAAATCCCTTTTACACATGTGCAGGTGTTTGTGCAGCAAGATCTAACGGGAATGCTTTGAGTCTGCCATTAAGGGGTCATAGGTCACAGTCTGAAAAAGAGAATGGGGGACGGGAAGGGGATGGTGCCAAACAGAGTGGGCCTGGAAGGTTTGGACCTCCCCACACTTGGCATGCAAGATGGCTTAGTTGGGGAGGGATTATTGAGGAGGGTACAAAAATATTGCTTACCTGAATAGCTTTCAAGACCTTGTCTTGAAGGTCTGGGAGGCCTAGAACAGCTGTTGAGTGATTGACAGATGGTGCCATCAAGGAATTACTCAAATTGTTACCCGTACCATTTTCATTTCCCATATTGGCATCCACATCCATGACTCCTCCCTAAAAAAATTTTTAAGATGAATTTGAAAACAATAACTATTTCAGTAATTAAAGACTCTAGTGAGTTAGTTGACTGACCTGGTTGGCCATGAGCGCAGCTTTTTTACTGAATAATGCTACCTCCAAAAAATGTGTAGTAATTTCATTGAAACTCTCAATTTGCTGGATGTTAAATGCCATAATATAGCGCTTATCGCCTTGAGAACGTATGGTGCCAGAGAGCCGACAGTACGTGTTCTCAACAACTTGAGGTTGAGCTGCTTGACCATTATCATCTTGCTAAAAAAATAAAAGAACCAATGTAGTTTACTAGACCAGGAAGACTTAGTTATGTGTCTGCAGTGCCCAGACACTTGTATCAGACCCCAAAAGCAGAGGATCATTGGAGGTCCAGTTTAACTAGAACTGTTTGTTCTTACCCCATCTATCCAATGAACTCCATCAATACATCCAGTATTATCTTCAAGTGTGTAGGTGATCTTTACAGATGTAGTCTCCACCGCTCTAACAATACCTACGAGCGCTACCTGTGATAGGAGTGATAACAGTAAGTTTCCAATTCTTCTCTAAATGGTGAAAGGAGAAAAATTAACTATAATGTATTACATACCAAATAAACATCCAGATTCCCAATCTTCAAACCATCTTCAGGACAAGAGAGTACCTGCCTTGCAGTGACAGGCATAATGTTTTGAGCCCGTTTTTGATCACCCTGTCAAACAAGAATCAGAAGACATAAGTAAGAACATGTTCCAAAACTATGTGAAGAATAGATAGGCCCAAGGATGAGGTATTGAGTGTGGCGAGAAACAGAAAACCATCTAATGAGAACAAACCTTCTTAGATACTTGTGGGCTTCCACCTCCAAACGTATTGTCTCCATTGAAGAATCCACCACCATCTGTAAAAGCAAACATAGATAAATAAATTAGTAGAGAACCATAGAGGTGATGCCACTGATGGTAAGTATTAAAACTAAAATATTTCAAACTATCCAGGAATAAGTCGAAAGTTTATAATCAAGAAGACTGCTGAAAAATAGACCAACACATACAGAAATAGTGTCTAAAATTATTTGAAATTGGAAACTGTTGTGGTAGTTAACCTAGACAGATGGACTGCCTAAACAGAACGCGACATTAGCTCCGGTTGCAACACTTCTCGTAATTACCCGTATCGTTAAACATTGTCGCTCTGGATTCGACACACAAGCGCCAAGAAGAGGATTGACAAGGTAGAGATTGACGAGTGCTAAATGCCGACGCGGTCCCTTCACTTCCCACTCAACAATGAAACGTACGACTGGTCTTGTCTCTTGTCTTGGTGATTTCGCGCGCGGGACGCGGGCCTCTTTTGTCAGCGCCTCCTTGATTTCGGATGCAGTGCTGGCAACTTGGCAACGCCAACGCTCGCACATGAAATGAAAACGCCGCCTTTTCATCCCTCTGAAATTCCGAGAGGAAATGGAACTTGAAGTGCATTAAATGTTCTGTATAAGTTTTTATGGCTTCGCTAATCTTTCCATGACTGAACCGTTGGCCGTGTGTCTCAAAGTTAGGACCAAATCATGTTTACACGATTCTAACGTCCCTTCCAGCCAACAGTCCGAAACGGAACGAGTCCGCACTCATACGGAATCCACGTTAAATCGTGCTTCGATCCACTCGGGCTGCTCGAGGCCTTTTCAGCTGAAAGCTGAGCACCGGTAGGCGAACGCCGGACCGCTGAGAGACGGCACGGCGTGACCCGAGTGCAGGTTGGCAGCGCTCCTCAAATCATTATTGATTGACGCAGTTGATGTTTTCTACCTGTTGGCCGAGAAGGGCGTTTGCTAGCCGGAGGTCCTGTGGACTGGGCGGCTCGGCGACTGGCGCGAGACAAGGCCAAGGTTGACAGTGCAGGGAAGCTGAGCCGGACCAGGGCCCCGATCGCCCCGATCGTGCTGCGACGAAGGTGAGTGTGTTGACGTGTTGAAGGGCGAGGAGGAAGTCGCCGGTGGGGTGGGGAATGCCTAGGAATGCCGTAAGGCCGCGCAGTGCGGTGGCAGTGCAGTGACTCTAAAGATCAAGCACTTCCCTGTCCGAGCCTAAAACTCGCTAGGCTCGCCCGAGTTACCCTTGGGGTACCAGAACTGCCCGATATGGCCATCCATGGCCAAGTTCTTTGGGTCTGTCCTTCCGAACCACCAGGCTTTTTTCGTCCCGCATTCGGTCGCGTGGGGCTGGAAGGGTGGCTTCCGTTCCGAGAGGCGCGTGCCGCAATGCCGCAATGCAGATTCAGCTGGCGCAACACTGCCGCGGTGGGAACGCAGCATTTTGGCCTTTCGGCCTTTACTCCTTTTGGTTGTTCGCAGGCTTCGCAGGCTTCGCAGGGCGCGGCGAGGGGTGGGCGGGGCTGGCGGCGCGGGGCGGCGTATGTCGTCACCCCCATCGTGGCGCCGGCGAGAAGATGCTGAGGTAAAAGGAACGGGAGCATCGAAAGGGCGAGCCAAAAGGCCGCTTATTTCCAGCAGAGCTGCAGACACCCACCCTGGCGCGTACAGGGGGTGGGGGTGGTATTGACCATCGGTCGATTCCGAGTACCCTACACCCTACCCGACGCGCCGTGCCGTGCACTTGACTCGCCCCTGGGATGAGGGTGACTGGCGACGCCTTGTGGCATTATGAATGGCGTGAATGGGCGGACGGTACGGTGGGTGGGTGGAGGGGGCTTGGGCTTGATTGTCGTGCAAACCATGCCTAAACTCTGGTTTCAGCATCATTTCTCGCATTTACTGAAAAAACTGTTTCGTTCTAGTGGAGGTCAGCGGAAAGAAGTTACAACGACTGTTAAAGCAACTTTTAAAGAGACGATAACAATAAGCTGGTCAGTATTAGTCAGTATTAGCCGACCGGTAGTTGGGCTGACCGCTACCGCTTTCTTTTCGAGTTAGAAATAGACGTAGAATATCAGTGCGTACGAATTTCTAAGAGTAGGCACCCTTGAAAGCGGCAGTGGAGGGGGTAGGCAACCCTAGGCAACCCTCGCCGCGCAGACTCAGCCTGCCGGTAGGCAACCCACGCTGGCATGGCTGCAGAAGGCCTCGATGTAGCAGCCTTGTAGAGGCATCGAGGAGCGCATCAGTGGTTTAGGCGTAAATAGTGAAGCTTTTTGCATGTCGGTGCGGTCGTTGGCACTTGCGACGGGCAAAGGGGGAGGGGGCGTCACGCCTCGTGTTGGTTAGATACAGCTTCCACCCCTTGCCCCCGCTGACATGGGCGCGTGAGAGTCCCATGTCGTCTGGAATCAATCAATGGAGCCCCCTTCCCCCCTTCCCGTTCCACCCCAGACGCTCGCCATCAGCACGAGAACGAGAGGGTTAGCTTATCCTGGACGCCCTTCGGCTCGAGGCTCGAGCTTCGGCTTCAGTTTCAGCTTCAAGCCCCCTCCACCCTCCACTCCCAGGTCCCCGGGCCTAGAGCCGCGAGCCCGAGCCCACGGCGCAGGCGCGGCAGGCGGCGGTGCAGGGGCAAGGGAGCGGCTCGTTTGAACCGGGGGCGGGCGCGCGCCGCTCGCGCGGTGCATTGTGGGCCGATAGAGGACCCTGGCAGAAGACTCTACCGCTCCGCCAATGAGAGGCCAGGCAGTGGGAAGTTGACAACAGGCCGCGAAGTAAATAAGAGTGCCGAACACTCTGGAGCTCCGTCGTTTCCAGGCAAAATTTGTTAGACTTATTGTTGTGCGCGGTGCCAAGAGGCTGCTCTTCCGCAACTAAACCCAAGGAATCAATAGAAAAGGTAAGGGAGGGTGAAATCGCAGAGGAATTACGTTGAATAGCGAAGCGAAAGACGACGGGGTACGGATCTCTCCAGGATCCCGTGTCTCGCGCCTTTGACAACCACCCCTTGAGTATGAAAATCAAGCGCGTGACAATTTCGGCATTTCCCCGTAACTTAAGCACGATCCCTGTTAGTCTGTAGTCTTTTCCTTTGGCTACTCCCTGTACCGTGGCCGAAGCATGTCCTCAGCGTGGAAGTGGCCAGTGTGGTTAAAGTCTCGATGGTCCCCTGGCCAGTCCATTCCCGCAATTTTAGAGGGTTAAGTTTGTGAAAACGTGTGTCTGGCCTCGGCCTCCGTCCTTGGTGGCAGGCTGGTAGGTCCGGTGGGGTTGCGGGGGCTGGCGGAGCTGCGGCGCCCCCGCGTGCAGTGGATGGGGCATGCTAGGCATGGGGCCTCGTCTCGTCCCCGCCACAGCTAGCAGAGCCATGAGACGGGCAGGCTTCTGCTGGGGGCGGGCTGAGGCCGGGCGACGCTGCTGAGGCCCCCAGGACTCCGGGCCGCCAGAGGCAACCCCCTGTGGGGCGCAACCCCCTAGGGGCGCAACGGCGGGGATGGGTCCGCAGTCCGGGCCGTAGTCGGCCCTCTTCCGCTGTCTTGACAGGCCGCATTGTTGGCCGGGTGGCCGCGGCCGTGGGACATGTCAGGCTGGCATGGGTAGCATGGGGGTCATGGAGGTTATGTCCAAAGGACCTGGGCTGACGCTGATGAGACATGAAAGACGTAGACGCAGTGGCGACCGTTCGCCTTTCCAGGGAAAAGGGGTGAGCGCCGTCGTTTGACTCTTGTCCGGCATGATACTCAGTACTGCCCGGTCGCTGTCCTTTATCTGGGTTGATTGTGTCACTCGTGTTTCGTTGACTTGAGTTTATGCTATGAATGGGTTTCCGCTTTTTTGTCAGCTGTGTCTAAGTTGTTAATTTTTGTGTGTTGCAGCACAATGTCAGACCGCAAAGCTGTTGTCAAAAATGCCGACATGTCCGAGGAGATGCAGCAAGATGCAGTGGATTGCGCAACTCAAGCTTTGGAGAAATACAACATTGAAAAAGTAAGTTTCGTTAGTCTTGTTTGACTTTGCTTCTCAAAGTGTTCAGAGGTTGGCAATGTACTTATATTGATACTTTTGTTTTCTTTTTTCTTTGTAGGACATAGCTGCCTTTATCAAGAAGGAATTTGACAAGAAGTACAACCCTACATGGCATTGCATTGTTGGCCGTAATTTTGGAAGCTATGTAACCCATGAGACTCGACACTTCATCTACTTTTACCTTGGGCAAGTTGCCATCCTTCTTTTCAAGAGCGGTTAATCCCAATTTTTTCCCTCCAAAACTTTCAAATTCTCTAATGCAAATTTCCAACCTTTGTGCTCATTGAAGATGGTTATGTTTGTCCATGTGATAGCCACAATGTAAGAAGAGGAGGAGGCATGTGTTATTTTGTCAAATTAAACTGGTTGTTAGTCTCTTTAATTTCTTTTTGAACAGTAAGGGAAAATTCTTGCCTCCTTCCTATCTTTATTACCATTGAATTTTGGAGTTCCTGTAGCTTCCTGGGAAGAAATTAACTTCATGTCTTAAAGATATGCTTCTATCTTTACTATGCCATATTTGACTGTTCCCCTTAATTTTGTATTGACTAAATTAATTTTAGGCTTCACCTTTTACTGACTTTCTAACTTCCAAATTTGAGGTGGACTCACTTTTATGGATTAAAACTGTTGGTACAAAATTCTTGGGTTTCAGCCTGCGCAAATCTCAAATTTAGTTTTTAAGTTCTTTGTTTTAGTTAATTAAGACAGCAGAATTCAGTTTGTTTCTCACTAATTGATATGGTAATTGTCACATCTGCATAGATTTGGCAATTCTTTCGTTTTTTTGTTTTCTTTTGTTTTTTTAAATTCTGTGCAGAACAGAAGAAAATAAAATTGCTTTGGTTTTGAGATATTTAGTTGCCTGAGGCAATTTCACCCATGTACAAATTGTTGTGACAAATGCTCTCATTTTAAGGAGTGTTGATCATTCATGGTAGGAATTCAATCAGTACCTTAGTAGGATACCGATTCTGTTATTAAGTCAACCTGTTAAAGGACTTTCTGCAATTAGCAAGTATCCATTGATAGCAGTTAACTCCTATGGCTTGTGTTCATGACCTGCCATTTTTGGTGTCCTACTGTGCGTGAATGTTATTTTCCTTTGCCTGTTTTAAATTATGTGCTATTTTCATTTGAGATGGATGTTGTTATGTTTTTGTACAAATGTGAAAAAGGATAAAGTATTATTTCAAGATTTGAAGTATTGATTTCATTGTCATCCTTCTAAGAAGCAGTTGTCGATTCTGTGTTTGGTGTGATCTATATGTACATTCTTGTGATGCTAGGCAAGTTTAAGATGCACATGTGGTTTAGTTTTGATCAGTCAAATTATCAAATGTGCCCTGTTTTTGATTGACCTTATTTCATATAACTCACTTGTAGGGAAAGCTTTACTTAAGTTTGCACCCAACTTCACAAATTGAAGGTCTTTTCCAGAGAAAAGAAAGAGTCTTAGCTGAACTCTGTGACTTTTGGCATTTTGCAACCCATGGATTATGAGAGGCAGATAACCAGGCCTCATAGTTCCTTGACTTGTAGCATTTAATATCTTGCATGCCAAATCCTGAACCCTTTTTTAAAGGGAATCTAGTCTGCCTGAAGTCCACAGGAAAGCATGTGTTTGGGATGCAAATAATGTGATTTAGGCCCATGACCAAATGTGTGCTGCCAGCACTTGATTTGGTGGACATGGTGCTGTTGCAATGTGTACTTACTGTTTTCTTTACACCTGTCGATGTCTTTCAGTTGGACTATTTGAATATCGCTGGTGTATATGGTCTGAATATATATAATTTCAATTGATTGATGTGAGATTGTGGAGATTAAAGTTTTACTGTCAGAACAAATTGCTTAAGTGTTAAAAGTTTACTGATTTGATTAGTAAATTTGAAATTGATTTCAAGCTACCTTAAATCAAGTCTGAAAAATATGTTATCCAAGATAACTATTTGTCCTTTCCTAAGATGGCTAAGGGGATTTGAAGGAGTTTTTTTGACCAAATATGATAAAACTTATTCATGAAACCATTTCAGTTGTATCTTTGGGAGTTATTGTAGTTTTGTTTTTCCATTTGATGAAAGAAAAAAAAAGTTTGGTTCAATATTATACTTCCCAATATGTAGTGAGAGGTGCAGCTAAGATTCTTTGGGGCAATCATCCTATCCGGCATCGGCCCAGAGGTAATCATGCTGCAAGCATTCCACTGTAGACATCACTGATACCTAATGAGTTGTGGACTAGATGTCCTTGTATTTTTCCCTGGTTCTGACAATCTAACTGATAGGACCTGTCCTTTTCCTCTCAGTTAACTTTTCATTTTGTAACTTATTTTTTGTTAGTGAGACAGGCTACATGTTGATACTAATCCTTTTTTTCTTTCCTTACTGTGAAAAACATACTCATTTATATTATTGTCAATCTCTAAAATTGTAACTATCTGTCACCCACTATACTTCTGAATGTTCGTTATGTAAGGCTAGAACACTTGCATATTAAAAAGTACAATTCTATATGAATTACTTCCAAGTACCTATGTTGGCATTGATTTACTAGTTCCCTTCCCATTGGCATTGGGTTTCTTTCCTAATAGGAGAAACAAGGTTATTGATTGAATATATTTACTAAGTAACAGTTTCACAAAACAACAAAACAAATGGCACCAGCACAGGCTCTTGCTACAACTTGAATCCTGAATGAATTGCTACAACACCAAAGTTCAGATTTTCATAGGTAACGCATCTAAAACCAGCAGCCTCAATCATTTCTTTGAACTCCTCCTGAAACAGTACAGAAAGCAGCGCGATAATTTGACAGCTTCAGTCAGCGAATTCGCGCCTCACCTCTCACCGTGTCGGACGACAAAGCTCGTACCTGAGCAGGGAACTGCCGTATGCTCTCCACTAAATACTGGTAGGGCTTCCACTGTCCAGCGACCAGCTGTCCCATGGCGGGGATCACTTGGAACGAGTATTGATCATACAACCTGGAGAAAAATAACGGGAGAGAAAGGCAAAAGGTACATTAGCACGCAGGTGCATTAACACGAGCACATCCCCATGCTCCAAATGACGGCGAGTACGCTAGAATAGGGGGTTCATAGGAAGTTCCCTCCCCCGCCCCCCACCGCCTCATTCCGAAAACGAGTTGAGGATGATGTGCACGCGAGGGCTGGCGAGGCGAGGGCCCGTGAGGCCCGTACCCCATGCCCGTGCGGCCTGAGGGCCTGTGGGCCTGTGGGCCTGTGCTCCGCTCAAGTCGGCCTTTCCCTCCCCCTCCCCCTCGCGCCCGGTAGCGCCCGACGGGTAGGCAACGTCGCCACACCCGCGTCGCGGTGCTGCCTATCGCCTCGTCCGCAGGCGCTACAACCGCGCTGGGCGCTGGGGCTGGCGGAGGGCGAACGCGAGCGCGCCTCTCGCAGCACACGGCGCGACTCCAGTGCAGGTGCAAAGCCTTGGGTCAGATCTACGCGCTCAATTTTTCATCCCGCTTTGCGCACCAGTCACGACAGTGGCAGGCAATGTCCTGCAAGTTTGATGCGTCGCCGACGTGCAGCACGCCACGCCCGCATCAAGCCAGCGAGCTCGTCAGCGCATATATGCAGCAGGAGGAATGAGGCTGAAGGGCGACGACCTGGACGACCTGGCCTAAGGGTCGCGAAGGGCGGCACGCCAGCGCCCCGCCCTTGGCCAGCTCCACGCCACCCGGCCCTGCACTGCGCCCTGCACTGCGCCCAGGGCACACGGGGCAGGGTAGCACAGCGGTAGCACGTGCAGAGGGAAGTTCCGCGGCGGCCGTCGCGCACACTGCACAGCGCGCACAGCGTGCCCCATGCAGGCATGCAGGCCCTGACCGCAGCCTTCAGACTTTGCTGCCGCCGCCAAGCAGGCCGAGGTCGAGAGTCGTTTCCATCACTCTGTCCCTCTCGCAGCTGCGGCACGCCCCACGAGTACGACAGAGACAGAGCGGCAGAAACGACGCTCCAGGTAGCCCGGGGTTCGCTGATGCCACGGGGCGCCCCCACACAGAGGCCGCGGCTGCCCCGCCACACTGCCACACCCGGCGCCACAAAGTGTATCGGGGATCGAATCCCGGCAGCCCGGCCCGGCAGCCACATGTTCCATGCAGAGACATCGCGCAGCCCGCGCCGCCGACTACCCCGTCCCGTGCCGCCGTGCCCGTGCGAGGCCCGACCCCTCCCACAGCAGACTTATTCTGAGCGGAGAGTGTGTCTCTCTCGCACTCGTGGGGCGTCGCGTGGATGCGAGAGAGATAGACCGACGGAGCCCCGCGGTCGGGATCCAGCCTGCGAGCCCCCGGCCCCACCAGCCAGCAGGCCAGCCAGGCTAGGCCAGGCGAGGCGAGCTTGGACCGTCGCGTCGCTCCAGCGGGCAGGTCGGGCAGGGTGGCGCCGCACCGCGCCGCACGGTGGCAGAGGCCAGAGGCAGGGCGGCAGGCGCTACCCGATGACCCTGTGACCTTGTCCCGGTCTCCTCCCTTCCCATTCGCCAACCCGCCGCGCCGCTCCGCCCGGCCCGGCCCGGCGCACAACTTTATATTATGACCGCGATCGGTTCGGGAGATTGCTGCTCCGGAGTGTTTCGGTGTTTCAGGAGCGCGGTGAGGGCGGCGAGGGCGACGGCGAGGCCCTAAAAGCAGGTGGCTCTCCCTCCCCCTCCACACCACGGTGGGAGGGGCGACGGGTGTCGCGGGGAAGGCCAGCAGGCCGGTGCCGCACGTGGTGGTCATGGCTAGTCACGGCGGCTAGCGGCGGCTAGCTTGTGACCGCTTGGAACTCGCGACGCTCGCGACGCGCCACTGCACACCGCGTGCTGACGCGTGCACGCAGCGACAAGTCAACGCCATGCACACTGCAGGAGGCCTGCCGCGACGTCCCCGCTTCCTGGACGGCCAGCCCTCGGGCCAGCCCCCTGGCTCGGCTCGGCCCCCACCCCCTTTCAGCACGGGTGCCCTCTGGGGTCCGTCCGACATAAAGCAGGGCGTTAAAACGGCCTCGAGTACTCGAACGGCGGCCATCTCGTGACGGCCCCAAGGTTGGTCTGGCTCCGCCTGCTCGGCCTGCTCGCTCGGCCAGACAAGAACAAATGGGTGCAGCAGGCCAGCGGGCGGCCTGGCCACGCCTGCAGACTCATTCCGAGAGTCGTTTTCGTCGCCCTGTCTCTCTCGCACCTATACGGGATGCCCCATGAGTGCGACAAAGACAGAGCGACGATAACGACTCTCGGAATGAGTCTGCTGGCCGGGCCTGGCGGCGGCCAAGGCGGCGGCCTTGTGGCGCCGGATGCAGCCCCCTGCCCCTGCCCTGCCTCCCCTGGGAGCCTCCCCTGCGGCCTGCCGAGCGACTCAGAAGCGTCGCTTCGTCACTCTGTCTCTGTCGCACCATGGAGTCTCATGGGGCTCTCCGTTGGGGCGCGAGGGAGAAAGGGCGACACGCCGCTCTTCAGCATGGCCCGGACTGCCCGCACTTCCCGGGGCGTGGGCGTATCAGGGCGCTGCAGACAGTGCAGACCGCCCGGCCGGCACTGACGAAAGGACCTTTGCTGCCGCTCTGGCACACCAAAAGCGAGCACACGGCGGACTTGTCAGCAAAGGAGCAAAACGCGTCGATTTCATTGTCAGGTGCCACCACGCGGCCCGTGCGGCGGTGCGTCAGCCTGCAGGCATGATGCAGGCATGCTGCGGGCCGGGCAGGCCGGGCTGCGGTAAATGTGCGCCTGTTAAAGAGGGGACCTGCCTCCCTCACCTCACCTCACCACACCCCCCGGACTCGAGACGGCTAGAGAGAGACAGCGGCATCGATCCAGGAGCGCGGTGGCGCTGCCGGCTCACAAGGCCTTTATGCTTTGACGGCGTGTGCCCCGCCCCGCCCCGCCCCGCCCCGCCCCGCCCCGCACACAGTAAAGACACTTGCCGGGGATGACATCCTGTGGGGACGGCCGGGTAAGGGCTTCTTTGCACGCAAACGCTGACGGGGCTAGAGTCCTGGATGATGTAGTTATCTATGACTCTAGCTCGGCGTGGTAAGCTGGGTTGCCTACAAACTCTCGCACAAACTTCATCCCCCGTCCCCACGCAAGCGCAGCCAGCCAGCTACGTTGCTGCCACGTGGTAGGGCAGCAAATGAACTCACGGCCAGGAAACCCGCAGACTAAAGCCAGAGCGACTCGATTGCCCTAAGTGTTTTGCACCGAAACGAGAACGCGAAACTCGACTCCGCTCGTTGGTGGCGCTCGTTGGCGGGGAAGGCGAAGTTTGGCGAGCAGACCAGGTGCTTCGAACTAAACTCCTCAAACTGTTAGGACGTGCCAGGGAGTCGGTGGGGGCGGGGGTAGTGCCACACGAAGGGGGTTAAACTCTAAATGAATCAAAGTTCCCAACTCGGTTTCCGCCTGTTAGCAAAACCAGCCCGTGTCACCCCGAAATAAAACGCGCCCAAAATCATGGCAAACAAGCAGAATAATGGGGAATGCAGCAGGAATGCTGAATATGCTCACTCACCATCTCAAAGCTTCATTTTCTACATGACTGAACTCAAGGCACAAGAAACGTCCCCCGGGCCGCAGCACTCGGTACGCTTCTTCAAGCGCCTAGAAAACCGAGACAGGGAATGGTCATTGCCAATGTGCATTCAACACTTCTGAAGGTGGGACAGAGGGCCCAGCCTACCTTTTGTGGATGTGTAACATTACGAATACAAAATGCTATGGTGTATGCTGTAAAGTTGTTGTCAGGGAGTGGAAGTTTTTCGGCATCAGCTTCTAGCCAATCCACAGAACAATTAACTCTCTTTGCACTGGTTAGGATACCATTTTCAGAAGCTCGAGTTTTCCCTACATCCAACATTTCCTTGTTTATGTCACTAATGGTAACATGACTTTCAGCTTGGTTTGGATCGAGGCTTGCAGTAGAATTTTCAAGGTATTTTACATAGCGAAATGCTATATCTCCTGTGTTGAACAAAAAAGTAATTATGTAAAATTTTCAAATTATGTGAACACAGCTTAGCTCTTACTGATCAAACTTAAGGTCCAACTTACCAGTGCCGCCCCCTACATCTAGTAAACGTGTACCATAAACAGGTGACAGCCGTTGCATGAAAATGTCTTTCCAAATTCTATGGATGCCAAAGCTCATACAATCATTCATTTTATCATAGTTATGAGCTACTTCTTCAAATACTTTGTGCACTAAAAAGGAACAAAAACACTCATTAAGTTTGTTTAATTCAAGAGAAGTGTAGCCAACAGACCTTATGTAACAGTATTGTGATGAAACACCATGATGCAATCAAGTGAGATCCAACCAAGTCATAGAAGTGACCATCATCACTATTTCGAAGTAAATACTGCTTAAATCTGACCGAACACCGAGAAAATTCGTAAACTGTTCAACAGTCCGGTGTAAACAAACACCCTAACCTACCTTTGGATGATTTCTCCTCCTCTTTGACAGTTTCAAACCCAAAGTGTGTCTCTCCTTGAGCATATTGAGACGCTTTTTCACCTTTAGAGGCGACTCTGAGTGACACAGCAACACTCAAATTCCTACGACTACACAATTCTAAAGTTAAAAAGAGAGAATTGATTCTTCGTAAAGCTGGAGCCATGTTGAAGTCTTCTGCTAGCAGTGTTGACAACTGCACATCGTGAAGGTATGGAAACTCTCCCCAGATAATCGTCTAACTATTTTCTTTTCAGTGATATGTGTTATAAAATTAAATACTTATTTAGAAATTCATACCTTTAAGAGATAAAGGTTACAAAATCAGCGATTTGTTACTTCTCTCATTTGTTAGAGGACTTTAGCAGGGTTGCTCCATAGTTGCCGAATTTGTCATAGAGCTAGCCTCGCGCAACTTTTTTTCTCTTCTGCTGGCTTGTCAATGTTTATTTTTTTTTTGTGATGCCTAAAGTGGTCGAGCTCTAATCATCCAATTTGAATTTCCGATGTCTTTGTAGAGACCCCCAACAGTGTTTACTTGTTGGATGCTCCTTTTTCTGTGTGACTGGTATTCAAAGCCCTCCCATCAAAAACATTTCTTCGGTAATTACGAGCAAGTCGAAGAATCAACTAACCTTCAATGGGTGTTTCCTCCCAAACAGTACAAGTAACTATTATATATTTCCACTCTTATTCATGCAGCGATGTTTGTTTTCTTTTAAGCAGTGAAGACATCATAACTAATTGCCAAGATGTCCAGTGCCAATGGCCATTCCTCAGATGGCCAGGCATCTGGAGGCACTGATAGAGAATCCCCACCTGCAGAGGATCCGACACAGTCCTTGGACACATCCTGCTCCTGCACGTATCGTTCTGAAGTGAAAAAGAAACGTGTGGCTAGTAGACCAGCCAACAGACCAGCTCGGAGCATTAACAACGTACCACATTTGAGTTTTGACGAAAACTTCCGATTTAATGTAAGCTCTCTTTACTATGCACATAAACTATTTAGGGTGGTTATTTTCACTCATGAGACCATAGATTCAAATTCATAATTCTTTTGCCAGCATTCCTCTTGTTCTTTATGCAATGGTTACTTTGGACCTTGCTATGGTGAGCCAGTCTGCTCGACTTGTCATGCATTCGTATATCCTGTGGACCCAGGTCCAATGTTTTTCTTTAGTGAGGTAAGTTTGATAATGAAATACCTTGATTTATTGTCTGTGATGCAAATATTTGATAAACAGTGGAATTTTAATTTTTAGAAAGGTGATGATGGTGACTCTGGTAATGATGAACCTTCTGATATGGGCCCGGAGCGTAATGCAAACCAAAATAATCAAGGGCCCCCACCACCCGACCCAGATGAAGAGCCGAGAGTTGTTGTTCATGTCTCTCCACCAAATGTACCAGTCTCACTCTCAAAACAACTGGAGCTGCTTTGCAATCATCGAAATGAAGGAGATGGCATCGCTGTGGGTCTTGTTGACAACCTTCCTCCAGAAGGTATGCATCCTTAAACAATACTTTTTAAGAATTGTCTTTCTGCTTGTTTCTGAAATTGAATTTTTATTCCAGTTCTGCTGACATTATTTTCATATTTGGATGATCTCTCTCTATGGACATGTGCTTATGTTTGTAAGAGATGGCGTCATCTTCTTATGTCTAACATATCTGACATGGATTGGGAGAAGTATACAACACTCCGGTGGCCATTATTTAGACCATTGTATTCTGTGGAGGATTGGTTTAGAACTTATGGTGTTATGTAAGTCTTTGTACAATATTCTTTCTTTTTTTTAGTGATCTTTTGGCTGCATGGTTTTGCTTACAATGTCCCTGCCTCTTTCCAGGTTGACTAGTGCACCCTGCAGAACATGTGTTCAACAGATGTCTGCTCAGTCGGTGCCTCCTGGTGATGAAAACTCATGGCGCAGGAATCGACTGAAGATGGAACTTAAAAGTATGCATAAAAATTATAACAAGTTCTATGTAACATCTCGTCTATAAAAATGTATTTTCATCCAAAAAAATTTTTTCAGCTCTTCGGACAGACCCACCAGAAGGAATTGAGGCAATTCCTTTAGATGTCAAGTGCTGTCATTGGCAAGCCACCATCAGAGGCCCTGCAGATAGCCCTTATGCAGGTGGTCTGTTTTACCTCTACTTACAAGTGCCCTACAGGTACAGTGCTGAAATTTGGTTGACGTGTTCCTTTGGGACTTCTAAGACAAAACATAATCACGGTATTTAATCTTACTTTTCCAGCTATCCAATGAGCCCCCCAACTGTAAGATTTGTAACTCGGATATTTCATCCTAATGTGTCTCGGCATGGTGATGTTGGCATCGACTCAATTCAACACAATTGGAGCTTGGCTTTAACTTTATCTAAGGTTCTCATCTCTATTCAAAGTCTTCTCACAGATCCTTATTGTCAGGTAAACACACTGCCACAATAAAGGCTATTTTTTCTTTCGTTCTAGAAAATTATAATAAAATCCTACATGTTTCCTTTGCAGGTGTGTATGGAGCCAGAAATAGGTTCATTGTATAAACAAGACAAGCAGATGTTTGAGAATGTTGCTCGTGCTTGGACATGGAGATATGCAATGCATGATGCTCTAATGCCTCACAGAGACCCACCCTTCCACTGAAAACAAAAATAATACTACTAATGTGAAAAATACCTGTGTTGGTTGCACTTTTTTGCAGCTTGCAGAATTATATGTACTGTACATTTTCCGATTCTAGTTTATTGTTTTTTTCAATCATACAATTATTCCGGCTGAAACATACTAGAAAATCTGTGATATACTGTAACTATTTTCACAGCCTTTTTTTCCTCCTCCTATCCATGTATAGTGAGGTATGTTGGAAGTGCACAATTGTTGTTAATAGTCTCATTTCAAGTAATGTTTTCATGTTTCATTTTATTAGGATTTGGTGTATAAAAGGATTCAATAAACTCTCTGCATCATCTGTTTACTTTTACTTCATAATAATTTCTATTGGAATACCTCACATGATGTACATTATGGGGTTAAATCAATTTGATTGTGAATATAGTCCAATATTTTTCTGAGAAATGGAAGAATATAAAGACGCAGCAGTTCTCTTGCTTCTCTTGGTTTGGCATAGAATGCCACCAATGATAGGGGGCAGCTCCAGAAGATAACTGATAATGTTGCATGGCATGCAAGCCAACAAACTATATGGACCCCAATCAGCCATAGTACGCCTTTGATGGTCATCTGAGAAAATTTTTACTGGGATAATGGCAGTTTGTAAACAGGCATGTTGAAAAACCGTTTTCAAGGGACTCTAGCGTGACTTCACCTCTTCAGCCATGAAAATGGTTTCTGGAAAATAGTTTCTGTAAATCCAAGAAGCTCTATTATTATTGTTTGTGATTGATTTTTCAAAATATGGATTTTGTTTCCACAAATACAAAAATGGAAGCAAAAATGGGACAGGGAATGCAATGTTAACAATGATTTCAATGACTATGCTGAATTTCTCATAACATCACTCGGGAAGGAGGGAGGGAGTGGCTCGTTGTTATCGTGGTGGGGGGAGATGTTGATAGATTTCATTTGGTTGTTTATATTTTTGGGTAAACTTTCAATCTGTTTAGAAAGCTTTATGATAATTTTAACATCCTTGCCCGTCACATACCACCACTAAGCTACATGTAAACGAATTTTGTTCCATCTTACAAGCGTTATCGTCCGTAATAACATTTTATCTAACCTAACCGATAGCCGACCGATACCGGTATGGGTTTGTCAAACTTATCTAGGTCCTTAATTCTTGAATATGTCTTCGCTTTCGTTCTTCGAGTTTGGTTGTACAATTCTGAATTTAAGACGACCATTATTGGCCGTGTTGAAGTTTCCACTCCCGTTAACTCATGGAAAAGAGGTATTTTTTAACTGACTACCATGGTACGTTTCTAATTTTTTTTGCCGAAGGTGAATGATTTACTGACATTTGTTATTTTCTAGTGACGGAGGGTGTGGTGCTGCAAAAAGATGGAGTTAATCCATATAGCGGTGACATGTTTCATGAAAGCCCTGTTGGATTAGCTATTTACAGCCAATTGATAGAATATGCGTCTCCATATCTGCCGGGCATTTTTATTCTTTTAGATCTTATCACTGGCCATTTACTGTACCTAACAGCAGTCGAATATATGAAACACTTGGTAAGTTTATTCATGCCAATTGAGTTTTGACAATCGAACTATTTTATGATAATAATTATTACTTTCATCATCATCTACACCGATTTATTGCAGATGCGGCGTCAGGAGGAGGACAAAGCAGAGTTCAGTGAAGATGTGAAAGATCTCTTGCTGTCACAGAAAGATGTTGAGAGGCAACCACTCTATGTTGTTGCAGCATACCTGTTCAATCCCTATATTCTATTTAATACTGTGGCTCAAACAACTACTGTTTTCAGCAATATTTGTCTAGCTGCTTCATTTTTATTTATGGCCAAAGGTATGTAGGTATTTAAAAGCAATAAAATTTTACTTCTTTTCCACCATCCTAAAGAAAAATTCATTATTTATTTTTTAGGTAATCGTTGGGGCTCATGTGTTACTATATCCTTTGCTACTCTGCAATCTTTGTATCCCATTGTTCTGATTGTGCCTGCGGCAATATGTGTTGGTTACCACACATTGCCAATTAAGAAGCCACAAAAATTAACAAAAGCCAGAGCCATTGCACCAGTTAAACTGGACATTTATCAGAAAATGTTGCCAAAGTCATTGCGATCGGTCAATTCTACCCATTGGATAACTTCTATGGCAACTACAATTGGCTTGTTTTTTGTAATGCTTACTTCCCTTCTTTTTCTATCATGCCACTTGAGTGGTGGCTGGGAATTCCTTCACTCAGTATATGGGTTTATGTAAGTAGCAAGTCCTCTCTTTCTTTCCTTTTTTTTTATCGCATTTACTGTCACTTTCCATTTATCTAATTCTTGTTTATTTTCTCAGGCTCTTGGTACCAGATTTGCGACCAAATATTGGTTTGTTTTGGTACTTTTTCACTGAGATGTTTGAGCATTTCCGTCTCCTCTATTTATGGGCCTTTCAAATGAATGCGCTTGTTTTGTATCTTCTTCCTCTTTCATTGCGGACTCGTAGGGATCCTATCCTCTTAGCTGCATCCCTCACGGGTATCACTGCAATGTTCAAATCCTACCCAAGTCTAGGCGATGTTGGATTCTACTTGTCCCTTCTACCCATGTGGGCTCACATATTCCCTTGTAAGAAATTTTTCCTTTCATTTTTCTCCTTGAATTTATTAGTTTTATTTAATAAGGAAAAAAATTCTGTTGCAGATTTGCAGCAAGGCTTCATTGTTTTAGCTGCATTTATAATTACATCAGTTCTTGGACCCACAGTCTGGCATCTTTGGATCTACGCCCGTTCAGCAAATGCCAACTTCTACTTTGGAGTTGGCTTGGCATTTGCAATTGCTCAGGTAAGGCAGCACTATCTTACAGTAATTGTGTAAGAATAAATTTTCATCTACTCAGATTTCTTTAAGCTACTTTCATCAAATTTTTGTTTTGTTTCTTTACAGATCTTCTTAATCACAGATATTCTGCTTTCATATACAAAGAGGGAATTCATTCTCCGACATGGGACAAGTACTTTGCTTCATGGAAAGCATGGGAAGCTTGTCTTGGCTTGAATAAATTTAAAACACATCCCTATAATTGTTTATTCAATCTTCAGTTGTTGAAACAAATTCATTATAAGAATACCCAATGACCTATCACACAATCTTTAGGGAAGTTGTTGATGACATGTTTAATTCATTCCAAAAGGCACTAATGTTTGACAATAAACCATTAGGATCCGTGACGTGACAGGACAGGAACCGAGATTTCATTCACTAGTTTGACAGCTGCGCTAGCAGAAGGAACGTAGGCAGCCATGTTTGGGCATAAACAATAAACACACAAAAGAACAACAACAACATGGAAAGTAAATAGGAAATATGTCGATGCCCTTTTAAACGTCTGTACGTTTTGTGATATGTCGTCGGATTGAAGGTTTAGTGGATTAAGTCGAGACTATGCGTGTAACTTAACGCGGACGTCTAACGTGCTGTGCTCATAGGGCTGGGAAACTCTGTTTGAACGTACCGTTCAAGCCATGAAGCTCAAAGTTAGGTTAAGACAGCGACACTTTCGTTGCATCGGCCTACCATTTCTCCTGCTGCTCTTAACACGTTTTAAATATGCAGAAACCTGCTCAAACGAATCCTTTCCCACGCAGTTTGTGAAAGTTAAATTCACCACTCAAGTTGTCAAGAACGAATACATAGTGGCTTTCAATGCCTACTACAAGTCCCAGGCAAGAGAGAAGTTCATTGCAGCAGCCCTGAATGGGCTCGACGACAGACACTGGAAGATAATTGCCAGAAATAATCCAGCCAGTGATTACCCCAGCGATTTTGATGTGGTTACCCTCGAGGAAGCTGAGAACAGTCAAGATGGCTTGGATGCCCTACGATTACATCCAGCGATACGCAGAGTTACTCCTCAGAGAATGGTCCATAGATCCTTACACTTTGAAAATGAGACTGATTTTCTGGGTGATGCTGACAATTCCACCAATACAGAGAGCTTTGAAAGATGGCAATCCTCAAGACCTATGAAGCGGTTAAGTTTAGCCGTGAACAAGCAGTTTTGGCAGTCTACTGGAAGGCATACCAGCCGACGTCTTCTTCGTGCCATTCCTCGACAAGTTACAGCTATCCTTCAGGCTGATGCATTGTGGCACATGGGAATCACAGGTGCTGGTGTGAAAGTAGCAGTTTTTGATACTGGACTGGCCAAAACGCACCCTCATTTCAAGCGGATCAAAGAACGCACAAACTGGACTAGTGAAAAGACTTTGGATGATGGGTTGGGTCATGGAACCTTCGTTGCAGGAGTCATAGCATCTCATCGAGAATGCTTGGGCCTTGCTCCTGACGCTGAGCTCCATGTTTTCAGAGTCTTTACCAATAATCAGGTATTTTCTGCAATTTATGTGGTAATGAGAACACATGTATTAGTCACAAAGTTCCTGTCCTTGATACAAACTTTTCCAATTTTCCTTTTCAGGTGTCATATACTTCATGGTTTTTAGACGCATTCAACTATGCTATTTTGAAACGCATTGGGGTTTTGAATCTAAGCATTGGAGGCCCAGATTTCATGGACCATCCCTTTGTCGATAAAGTTTGGGAACTCACAGCCAACAAAGTCATAATGGTATCTGCAATAGGAAATGATGGACCTCTTTATGGAACCCTGAATAACCCAGCAGATCAAATGGATGTTATTGGTGTTGGTGGCATAAATTTTGAAGATCAAATTGCCAAATTCTCCTCTCGAGGAATGACCACGTGGGAATTGCCGCAAGGATATGGCAGAGTCAAGCCTGATATTGTGACTTACGGCGCTGCTGTTAGAGGATCAGCCATTATGGGAGGATGCCGTACACTTTCTGGAACAAGCGTTGCTTCCCCTGTTGTGGCTGGAGCAGTTGCACTGTTGGCAAGGTAGTGAAAGAAAAAAAGTTGTTGTGTTTTAGACTATTCTATTACCTATGCACATTGAATCACATGATTGTTATACTTCTCCTCTCTTTTTTAGTGGTGTCCTACATAGAGGTAATATTTTAAACCCAGCAAGTATGAAGCAGGCCCTCCTTGCCTCAGCCCGACGACTGCCTGGGGTCAATATGTTTGAGCAAGGGCATGGCAAGCTTGATCTTTTACGTGCCTATCAAGTACTTAACTCATACCAACCACAAGCCAGCCTTAGTCCAAGGTATGTTGATTTTCTTGAATGTTATTTACACATGTCATCAAACCTTTAGTATGTACTTGAACTTTTAAAACAATCCTTGTTGTGTTACAGCTATATTGATCTTAGTGAATGTCAGTACATGTGGCCATATTGCAGTCAGCCTCTTTACTATGGTGCCCTACCCACTATAGTAAATGTAACCATTTTAAATGGTCTTGGTGTATCTGGGAAAGTGGTCAATAAGCCAGCCTGGCATCCATACACTCCTCAGTTTGGCCACAATATTGATGTAGCATTTACACATTCTGAAGTCCTTTGGCCATGGTCTGGATGGCTCGCAGTAAGATAATCTTTGTTTTCCTTTGTTCAATGTGTTGTCAGCTGATTTTCATTAGTTATGGAAATAACATATTTCCCCGCTGATATTTTTTAGGTGAGCATTGCTGTTACCAGAGCTGCCTCAAATTGGGAAGGTATGGCTCAGGGCCATGTGGAATTAACTATTGAGTCTCCTCCAGAAGATGGAGAGACTGAGCCAAGGCGCTCAACGGTTCGCTTGGCAATAAAGGCTAAAATAATTCCTACACCACCCCGACAGTAAGCTGAGAACTTTGCGAAAGTTTTGTTTAATTAAAACAAAACCATATTAGACTTATGAAACTTTTTTTTTTTTTTTAAATTTTTAGCAAGCGCATTCTTTGGGATCAATACCACAATTTACGTTATCCTCCTGGCTACTTTCCTCGTGACAACTTGCGAATGAAGAGTGATCCACTGGATTGGAATGGAGATCATATTCACACGAACTTTAAAGTATGCATGAGTAACAATAACAACTCTTGTCTGTTTTACATAAATTTTATCCTTCTATGAGTGATAGCTTCTATTGTTAACAGGACATGTACCAACATCTCCGGAATGGTGGATATTACATCGAAGTCCTAGGTTCTCCATTGAGCTGCCTTGACGCCTCACAATATGGAACGCTACTGATTGTAGACCCTGAGGAAGAATACTTCCCAGAAGAAGTTGCCAAATTGAAAAGAGATGTTGATGCTGGTTTATCATTAGTGGTATTTGCTGATTGGTACAATGTATCAGTTATGAGAAAGGTTAAATTTTATGATGAAAACACTCGCCAATGGTGGATGCCCGACACGGGAGGAGCCAATGTCCCTGCTCTAAATGACCTGCTTTCGCCCTGGGGCATAGCACTCAGTGATAGTGTGCATGAAGGTGTGTATAGTCCATCTAGTTCTTCGCTCTCCCTCCATCCTTCATCTATCTTTTGTTCACTCTTTATTTAAACCCTTGCAGGTTCTTTTAACCTTGGAGAACATGAAATGTACTATGCCTCTGGGTCCAGTCTCCTTAAGTTTCCGGAATCTGGAGTAGTTGTCTCACGCTCTTTGAAAGACCAAGGGCTAGAAATTCTGGATTCTGATGCTGATTCAGTTTCCAAGACTGTTCCTATTTTAGGACTGCTGCAGAGCAGGCCCAATGAAGTTGAAGGTGATGATGCCACAACAGAAAAGATATTTTCATCTCCTAGTGGACGAGTTGTGGTTTATGGTGACTCCAACTGTCTGGATAATAGTCATTTGCAGAAAGGTTTGTTTAAATTTCTACTCCAATCAACATGTGTCTTCAGACAGCAAATTTTAATGAAATATTGGTCTGTTGGTCTAGATTGTTTCTGGATGTTGGATGCTCTATTAGAGTTCACCTCTACTGGTCATATGCCTTCCATTTTCAAAGATAATAGTGCCAAAGTAACGTTTCCATCATCAGATGAGCCACTACCTCAACGGATGGAAGGAAACCACCTTTATCGGTAATCATATTTATCTTTTAATGGCCCCTGTTTTTCTTTTTTTTTCCTTTTGTCTTGATAGGATGTTGCTATTCTAATGTATGTAATCCAACAATCTTACAGGTATTCAAAGGTTATTGAGAATCACATGGGAACCATGCGGACAAGGGAATTACCGGCATGTCCACATCTCGTTTGGGCAAAGCCTCAACCGCTAAACACCTCTGCTCCATCGTGAGTTATTATTCAATTTATCTACCTCCACCTAAGTCGAATATTATTGAAAGTACTAATGCCTTCTTTACATTACTATTTCAGAAACTTGTACAAAGCTCAGAAACTTCTGTCAGTTGGAGTGGAGGGTGATTTGCCACTGTGGCGTGTTGCTCCTGGTGCTGCACAAGTAGATGTTGACCGTGATTTTGGTGGAGGATTAGGTGTTGATATGATGGACAGCCTTGCTGAAGAAGAGGGTATTGCTCTGTTGGACTTAGCACCTGCCCTTCTTGTCATATCCTTGGCAGCAGCTGCAGTCCTCCTAGCATGTCGATGCTATCGTTCAAGAACAAGACCACGAAGAAAGCGTGTAACACGACTTAGGCGTTTAATGGCTGTGTTAAATGCAGGGCGTGCGCCAACAGTGTGATATTGAAGTGTTATTATGAGTTTTCCTTATTATAAGATAACATACCACATGATGTTCCTCTGACGAACCACTTGGATGCTTGCTAAAAGCACTTCATTTAAAGATACCATCAGACTTAAGCTTTCTAGATCTCAAAAATTCCTCTTAATTGTATTAAAGAGGATAAATGTGAAGTATCTACATCAATTTTTTAACCTCTCCAAAGAATTTCTTTATTTGGAAGTTGGCAGCATAGCGTTCTGTGATTGAAGCACTTTTAACTGTTGAACTTATTGCTGAAATGAGAGAACTCTCTCTCTAGTATAATTTTAATTAACTGTGCATCTTCTGTCTTTTCATCAACCAATCTACTGCGGAGCAATAATACATTGTTAAAAAATTGGTGCGACAATTTGCTGCCGTATAACTTATTACTTTACATCTTCCACTCGCGTGAGACATGGCTAGAAAAGGACTCACTTCATGTGTAATATGTACACAAAATATGTGATATAATAATAATCATAATAATAATTATAATTATAAAAATGATTGACAATAAGTGATACATAAACTATAGTGTAGCTACTTAGTGCATGGTGAGAGTGACTGGGAAATATCAACAGCTTTGGAAAGAATTTTTTTTTTTTTAATGCCAGACAGTGGTATGAAATTTATGGTAACCACACTCTATGTCTTTCCTTGAAGCTTTTTACAGTTTTGAACCTCTGTAAAATATGGTTCTGTATGTTTGACTTTAAGTCTTCCTACTACTTCATTCTCTGTAAGGGAATGTTGTAGTAAAGCATATTAATTTTAATTTGGAAGTTCAGTGCCCATTTTTGCAATATGGTTTTTATCAATGTATGGTGTTCTTGTCTTACTTCTATGTCTGTATTCTGGATCTTACTCACTGTATGTTCACTATCAACTTACTTGAACTTGAGATAATTTTAGGAAAGTGTTATGTATGTTATGAATTCCAAGAGATTTATTTTTACTTGTAGTCAAGATTGTATAACTAATGTCTTCCTTATAGTATATGTTGTGTGTGTGTTTTTTTTTTTTCTCATCACACTGGTGTGTTAATACGTGTATAACATGTAACAGACTTCATTTTTTCTCATTGTTTACTTTACATCTATAGTTATCAATATACATGTACCTAGATAGGTATCATCTCTGCTGTCACGTTTACTTCATACCTTGTTTGCAATGCAAAATTTTTATATCTGACAGATTGTGCGCTTGTTTGCGGTTTATTAATTTCTTTGTATTGGAACTGATTGTCAAGAATGTTTCCTGTATGTACTTACTTGCCTTTTCCTTTCTTCCTGGCCTAATCATTGTTGATGTTAATTTGTAGTTTGTTTAACCACCATGAAGAGATATCTAGTGTAACTAGGTTTTGATTTGACTACGACACTCATGAAACTATTCTATTGATTCTACTAATGTAAAGCATTTGATGAGTCATTTGTACACCATTTTATAAAAATATTAAGTTTATTCTAGCGGCAAACAATTTCATACAAAACACACTTTTCAATCATTTTGAAACGAGTTCTGCCATCAAAAAGTACCATCCTTCTAATATTGATAGTAATAATAATTATGAATATTTAACATTTATACTGCTCAAAGACTCAGACATAAAATAAATTCCTCACGCACAATCACACAACCAATAATGATAAGTTAAAGTTACAAAAACTGTTCAAATGCTACCCTGAACTTTGACCACCAAGTGGTATTTAACATTCGATTTTGATTATGTATCAGCAAAGTTTCTTGTTTTAATTAAATGGCAGAAGTTTAAAAAAAAAATAAACTTGGATTTTTTTTCCAGTTACATCTACAGATTTCTCTTTACTTATTTCCCCTCTACTGCCTATTTTTGCTGTGAAACCTGAACTACCCAGGCTACTAGAAAAAATAGAAGACCAAGGTTTTTGTCTTACGGTAGGAAATGATGTTTTTGTGTCTATCACTAGGAGACTTTAACATTAACACTTATACAATAGCATGCATTTACTAATGCCTTGAGGTGGGAAAACAATTACCACCTGTCTAGTGCGAGATCAAAATGCCAACAATGCTGTGACCATTCATTCTCACTTGGTCTGTCAGCCCGAACTTTCCTCCCAACGTGCCTGTAGAAGGGAGAAAATTGTTTCAAGGCCTCGTCAGCTACGGGCTTAAAATTTGTTTTCAAAATAAAGGGGCTTCTCTTGCAAGTAGCAAAACTATGGACAGATCTGATTTCAACTTTCTAGAAGTACAGGGCATGCCGCTGCAATGATGTTTGTGACCGTTGAGGTCGGACAGTAGTACTTGGGTGGGACACAGGGGGCTCAGTCCTTGGCTAAGGCCCTTGGCGTTGGCACAGGCCTGACCAGTCGATGACGATGACGAGTAACAGGAACGAACGACACACGACGCCGGGCGAGGTGGCGCGTGCCTGGCCTCCAAGGAGGGGCGGGAGGGCCAGGAGGGAAAAGAGGGGCGGGGACCGTCCAGCAGTTTGCAACGGCCAGGACCAAGGTGGCCAAAGTTCATCACTTCTTGTAGAACACCGTGTTGGGGTGCCGCTGCAACCAGCGGTTCTTGATCATGTCGCTGCCCTTCTCGGCGATCATGATAGTGGGCGCGTTGGTGTTGCCCGAGGTGACGACGGGCATGATGGAGGCGTCGATGACTCGGAGGCGGTCCACGCCGTGCACGCGCAGCTGGGGGTCGACCACCGCGCCGGGGTCGTCGGGGGGCCCCATGCGGCAAGAGCCGGCCTGGTGGTTCTCGGGGCCGGTCTGCCGCCGCACCGCGCACTCCCAGTACGCGTCGCAGCCGAACGCCAGGTTCTCGCAGCCGGGGACGGGCGTGCGGTCCATGCGGAAGCCGTACCTGTACAACAAGGAGGGATTAACGCGGGGATGCTTTGAGGCACGGTAGCGCCGTCCTCCAAGGACCCTCACTCACCTCTGCAGGGCGGCCGTCTCCGTCAGCCTGATGGCGAACTTGATGCCGTCGATGAGCATGGTGACGTCATCGGGGTGCGACAGGTACCGCGCGAAGATCCTGGGCGGGGCCAGGGGGTCGTTGGAGGCGAGGCGCAGGAAGCCGCGGCTTTTGGGGTGCAGCACGGCGGGGAAGATGTTGACGGAGCGCAGCGCCATGGAGTTGGGGTTGCCGTCGGCGCGCTCGCCCACCTGCACCCCGGCAACAGGGAAAGATGAATGCCGTGTCCGTTCGAGGTTCGAGCTCGCTCCAACTCGCCGCACTCACCTGCCCAGTGCGCGCGCAGGCGGCCAGGAAGCCGCCGAAGAAGTACTGGATGTCCGGATGGTCGTCGGCAGGGTTGCTGAAGCGCGAGTTGATGAAGCCCGTCACCTCGGACAAGCCCGTGCCGGACATGAGGCCGTCGCGGAACAGCAGGTACTCCATGGCGGTGGCCCAGTTGAGCGGCGTGGTGTTGGTGTCGTTGATGGTGAAGGACAGGAAGAAGGCCACGTGGTTGTGCAGGTTGCGGCCGACGCCGGGCAGGTTGTGCGTCACGGGGACGTTGACCTGCTGCAGCTCCTCCCTGGGCCCGATGCCGGACAGCAGCAGCAGCTGCGGCGAGTTGACAGCGCCGCCCGACACGATCACCTCCAGCTTGGCGAAGAAGCTCTGCCGGCTGCCGTCGCTGCGGATCACCTCCACCTGCGAAAACGAAACGACACGAAAATGGTGAGCAGGAAGCGTCATTTGTTATTTACAGCTCGCGGTGCACCTCAGCCTCGAGGCTTGGGGCTCGGCCGCTGCCCTGCCGCATCACGACTCGGTGCTCGATCGAGGCGGCTGGCGCGGGCTGGCGTGCTGCTGCCCGTCATTACTATTTCATCTTGAAGCCCTCCTTGCCCAAGAGGCGACCACGGCACGGCCTCAGCGCCTCGCCTCGGCTTGCCGCCCCGCCAGTGCGCCAGCCCGCCAGCCCGCCGGACTGCATTGACCCTTGACAGGCCAGGACCTGGACCTGGATCGCGCTGCGGTGGGGCCATGCCGGCCACGCCGGCCATGCCGCGGCCCGGGGCGGTAGAGCACAGTGCCCGAAGCACAGTGCCCGGGGCACTGGGGCAGGACGGCTGGCCGGCCAGCGCTGTGGTCAGCGATTGGGAAGTCAGTCGGGGCGTCCTTGGAGGGGCGGGGCGGGGCGGGGCGGGGCGGGCATTGCCGCCAATTACCTCGTGCCCTGGCCCGTGCGGTCCTCCGTGCCGTACCCTCTCCGCCATCTCTTCGCTCTTCGGCGCCGCAAAGTCCGCTACGTGCCGCGCCGGCGGATACCGCCCAACGCTACGTTCAAAACCCAAAAATGGCGTTCATCGCTCTTTCTCCTTCCCACCTATACGGAACGACACCTGAGTGCGAGAGAGACAGAGCGATGAAGGAGGGGGAGTGAAGCACGCTTACCCCGTAGGCCTCCTTGGTGGTGGCGTTGACGAGCACGCGGGTGACGGTGGTGTTGAGCAGGATGTGCAGGTTGGCGCGGTCCTTGACGGGCCGGAGGAAGGCCTTGCTGGTGGACAGCCGCGACCCGTTGCGGGACGTGGTCTGCGCGATGGCGAAGCCCGTGTGCTGGAAGCCGTTGAGGTCCCGGATCGGCTGCCCCATCTCCATGGCGGCGGCCAGGATGGCGTGCGACAGCGGCGGGTGGTACGGGAACTGGGTCACCGTCAGCGGCCCGCCCACGCCGTGCAGCCCCGAGTCCATGGTGTCGGCCTGCGGAAGGGAAGCGTCAGGAGCTGCAGGCGAGCTGCAGGTAGATGGGGCGCGACACCGAGGAGAGGAGGCTCACTCTCTCACCTGCAGATTGTCCTCGGACTTGAGGAAGTACGGCAGCACGTCCTGGTAGCCCCAGCCCGTGTTGCCCATGGCGGCCCAGTTGTCGTAGTCGCGCCTGCTGCCGCGCATGTACATCATGCCGTTGAGGACGCTCGTCCCACCCAGCACCTGCAGGAAGAGAGAGACAGACAGCCTTTAGCCTTCGCGAATCGAATGGGCGGTCTTGGAAAGCCCCAGACGTGCGCGACAAGGAGCGATGTTCGGGCAGCGCGGCCAAGCCCGGCCGGCGAGCGCCTGCCATCGCGAGGTAGGCCAGCCCGCCACACGCCACTGTGTTGCGGGGCGGCCCAGCCTCTGCTTTGCAGGCGCCCGCACGCTCGGCAGCTCGGCCAGAGTTGTAAGAAAGGAGGCGGGTTCGGCGTGGGTTTGAACCGCACAGGGAGAGCCCCAGGTCCCTTAGACCGCCTGCTGGTCCCACCCTGCGGTCCCACGGCGGAGCAACATGCCCCCACCTCCTGCGTGCCGACTTGTTCAAAACGTGTGAACCAACAACAGCAAAAGCAAGAGGGACAAGAGCGACCAGAAAAACAAAAGTCAGCCCCGCGCTCTGAGCTCCGCGCAAGCAACGCGAGCTGTGTTGGCGTTGGTTGGGCGGGTCGGAGGTCGGGGCACTCGCCGGGGATGTTGGAGGTTTACCTTTCCTCTGGGCCAGGAGCAGCGACGTTCGTCCTCGCCAAGGCACGCCATGTCCTCGGGCTCCGTCTTGTACTTCCAGTCAATGTCCGAGCCGAGGAAGTTGAGGAACATGGAAGGCACCTAGCAAAGCGCCGATGATAAAAAACGTTAGAAACATTCAGCATTTCCAAATTGGCATGGATCTGCATGGATGCGGTGACGCTCGCCCTACCTGCGTGCCGGTGGGTTCGTTGCCGCCGGCCTCGATGCCCAGCACTCGCCAGTGCGGGTTCTCCGACAGCCTGGAGGCGACCACGGCCCCCGCCGAGCCCAGGCCCACCACGATGAAGTCGTACTCGTTGTTGAGGTCCCGCTCGCGCGACTGGGGCCGGCCGCAGGGGTCCTCCAGGTCGCACTGGGAGCGGATGAAGACCTCCAGCAGCCCCATGAACAGCATGAAGGCGGAGCCGCCGCACGCGTTGGCCAGCGTGGGCCCCGGCCGCGTCACCGGGCAGTTGCACTGCATCTGTGGGCGAAGAAGGGGAGCGAGCGGTCAAACTTTGGAAAGAAAATCAAGGCGCCCGCCCGCACGTCACAAAGTCTCTGACACTCTCTGTGCGAGGCGCTGGCTGCGGCAAACAAGAGCAGGTTTCCGAGGGGCCGTGCGATGGGCTCCTTGTGCCCTGGAAGGTGCTCGGTTATGGGCGTCTTTGTGGTGCCCTGTCTTTGTGGCGGTGGTTAGCAGTGCCAGGGCAGTGCCGCAAACTCGCTCTTCAACGCGCGCGAGTACGCGGCACGCGCACACCACCGCCCCACACTGCGAAAGCCGTGCGAGGGAGTGAGAGGGAGTGAAAGGGAGTGTGCGGCGCGAGGTGCACACCTTGGAGGCGCTCTCCTCGCGACGGCCACGTCGTTCCCGCCGACGAGCGAGTGGAGTGAACGAGCGGGCCTTTGTTAGTCCCGTTTACAGCTTTACACGTTTACAGCCCGTTTACGACGGCTTGGCCGGGGTGGGCCGAATAATTCGGGAGGCGGTTCTACTCACGCCACGCCTGGAAACTGGTGCGCCACGGGACGCGCCATGAGTGGGGGAGAGACAGACCGACGGTCCTCTTCACTCGAAATTAGCCAGCAGCGCCGTGTGCCCTTTCATAAGCCGAACAGTGAGGCGTAAGTTCCGGCCTTTGCGCCTTCCGAAACTCCGCCCGCCCGGCCTGCCCGGCCCGGCCTGCCCCCAGCCCCACGCGGTCTTGGCGTGCCGGCAGGCCCGTTTATCCAGATGCTATCTCTCTCCTTCGCAGGGCGGCAGGGCGCCGACACGGCCTGTCAACGCACGCACGGGATTAGCGCGCGTGGCTACGCGTGGCGAGGCATGCGGGTCTAGCGCAGCCTAGCGGAGCCTAACGCTATGGGGCTGGGTAGTCCAGGTTGACAACTGTCCAACAACGATTCCTCATGACCTCAAAGTTCAAACTTCAAACCCGCTTAAATGATGGATTCTTCGCCGGAAACACCGCCGCTCCATTCTGCGATGGGGTGTTTCTTTTTCTGCCTAAACATGCGGCGCGTTGTCGGCCGCGTGCCCTGCTGACGTCTTTCCGGGCCGTTCCGGCGTTCCGGCGTTTCGCCCGGGCGGCTGGGCTCCAGTTCGGCGGAGGAACCGGCGGCTCGACTCCGGTCGGCTCCGGGGTGCAGCACCGCGACGCGGGGACCGGAACAGCGTTTATGAGGGAAACTCCGGAATACAACCATTTTCGTACGCTCCAGCCGTGCGTTACCCCACACATATGTGTGTGTGTGTGTGTGTGTGTGTGTGAGCGCCGTATTTTGAAATCCTTGGCCCAGGGCGGGCGGAGCGCGCCGCCCGTTATATCACGTGTGTCGTCTGCTTTCCCTGCTTTTCCCGCGCTCCCCAACCGTAAATTGATTCTCTTCTCCATGGCGGCGCGTTTCGTTTAGCCGATTTTCCGCGGCTGGGCGCATTCCATCCCCGACAAGGACCGTGTCTCTGGCCGGGCTAATTCGCCGATGGGAGGGAGAGAGATGGGAGGCGGGCCGCCTTCCGGGCCGGGAGAAATGCCGTGCCGTCTGCTCGGCGTGTCCCGTCGGCGTGTCCTGGCTCCAGGGCGTGTCCCGTGTCTCGGACTCTCGGCGCGGCTAGGCGGCTAGGCCAGGCGCGGCCTGGGACAATGGTCAATGTGCTGTGGGAATTCTGGGGCCTGCCGGCCTGCCGGGCCCTAGGCCTGCCAGCCTGCTTGTAGCGGTGCCCTGCCGGTGCCCTGCCTGAGCCCTGCCAAGTATCAGCTCGGAGGCGTAGCTAGCCTGGGGGAAGACCAGTGGCGTGCTGCGCCGCGTGCTACGCCGCGGACGTCGCGTACGTCGCGCTGGCGGTGCCTCCATGGCGGCGCGGCGTTGCGCAAGGGCCGCCGCTCTGGCTGTCCGCCGCGCTCGGTATCAAAGCAGACGCGTGTCACGGGCAGCGCCGGGCCGGCGGCGGGAAGGAGAAGGGACGGCGTCGGGACCGCGCCAAGCAGGCCCTGTCCGCGGCCGCGGCTTGGGCTTCGCCAGGCTTCGCTTCGCGCTTCGCGGCCAGCAGCCGGGACAGCCACGCGCCCGCAGCGCAGCGTGCGGTGTGTTCCGAGAAGCGTTGTTATTACGAGTGTAGCGTAACACCGTAACACACTCGCTGGACGGACCGGCCGACCGGGCAAGGCGCGCCGATTCAAAGGAGGGTACTGGAGCGAGCACACACGCGCGGCGCGCGCACGCCAGACGTATGCACCATAAAGAAAGGCAGTCCTGCCAAATGTCAAGGATCGCCCTCGGCCGCCCTGTGTACAGCCTGTGTACGGATAGGCAATAGGCAATCCCAGGAGGCGAAGGCAGGCGCCTCCCCTCCGAGACTAATCACAGCGGCGCGCGCGTGCCTCCATGGTGCCTCTGTAAGCCGAGCCTGGCCGGTGAAAACGGCTGGCCACTCACACAAACACGCTGCCATCAGATAGGTCCAGGCCCTATGGCCAGGTCCGACAGCAGCAACCATTCAGGCGATTCAAAGGGGCACCTGTAGCGCTTGCGTATGCGTGTGGTCCATTTAGCTCTTCTTTGTTTCTAGGGCACTGCCAATAATCTTTCCCAAGTCCCGTTCAGGGAACTCACAAAACAGCGCGTGTCGGCCCCCTCCCCCTTTCCCCCTCCCTTTCCCCGGAGGTGCCTCGTGCGCTGTTCTATTTATTACGCAAAATGAATGGAGACGTGCGGGGGGAGGGGGAGGGGCTCCTCAGCCTCGCGGCCCTCGCGGCCCCGGCCACCTCCCACAGGTCCGGCAGCCCCCCCCCCCCCCCCCCCGAGGCACGACTCCCCGTTTCCTGCATGCACGACACGGCCGACGCCTTGCAGCGCCGCAGGTGCACCGTTGGGGGCATCGATCACGACGCCGACGGCCGTGTCAACGGACACCGCCGGCCGCCGTCCACCCGCACGGCCCGCACGGCCTGCATGGCGCCGCATGCGGTCTCCAGGCCGCCAGGCCTCCAGGAAACCGCGCAGCGCGCCACGGCGTGATGCAGCACCCAGCTGCACAGGCAGCGGCAGCGCGCTCGTCGCCCCAGCCTCCAGTCGAGACGTATGTGTACCACCGTACCACCGCCACCGCCACCGCCACCGCCACCGCCACCGCCCCGCCACCGCCACGCACCGCCACCGCCACCGCCACGCCGCGTGAAAACGAAAGGGCGCGCTTGCTCGCGGCGTGGCGTGCCGCGTGCGGCGGAGACGGCCCGCACGGCACGCACGGCGCGCACGGGGCGGGCGGCCTGCCGCTGACACCCGCGGGGACGCGCCTCGTCCGCGCCGCTCGGGTGGTCCCCGCAGTCCCCGTCCCCGCGCACGCGAAGGCACCTCTCTCCGCGGTTAGGACTGGGCCAGCGTGGCGTGGCGGCGCTCTGCTTTGTGCTGGACTTGCATCCGACGACACCGCCGTCCAGCCCGCACTGCTTGCGAAAACAGTCCGCTGCTGCGCGTGCTCTGCCTCGTCCATTTTTCACAGTGAACGCCCGCCGGCCCGCCTAGAAGACCGACGCAACGCCCGAAGGGCGCGCCGCCACGCCGCCACGCCGCGCTGGCGGGCTGTCTTCTCCGCAAAGCGATCTCGCTCTCGGCCTCGGTAAATCACCGCGGGGGATGCCGTGGAGCAGTCGGCAGTGCGCCGGCGAGGGTCTGGGGTTCGACACCAGCTCGCCGACGGCAGCGCGGCCCGGCGGACTTGCCGGCGGGCTGGCCCATTGTCTGGTACTTCCCCGTGGCGGCGCTGACGGGCCGCGCCGGGCCAGTACCGGCTCCGCCGTTTGCTCGTGGTACGGCTCGGGGGCCGCAGGGCCGCGGACTCCAAATGCATGTAATCCCCCATCAGCGCCACACCGCACTCCGCACGAGCATCGAATTATCGTCATTACCTCCGCCCGTCATTATGATTTGCAAAATATCGGTCCGCCCGACACGCCTCACCGCGCCCCGCCCCGCCCCGCCCCGCCCCGCCCCGCCCCGCCCCGCCCCGCCCCGCGGCCCGAACCAGCGAACTAGCCATGAGCCGCTTTCTGGTCCGACGCCCCCGCCAACGCCGGGAAGGCCAGGACCGGCAGGACCGCCAGGAAGGGGCGGGGGAGTCCCCTTTGTTGACCCCATCGTAGTCGAAATAATTGAAGCACGTCTGTCGAGCGCCCTGTGCCAAGGAGCCCCCAGAGTTATGCCCATGCCCCCCCCCCCCCCCTGCGACGCAATGCAGGCGCTGCAGCCGCGACCCCCAGCCAGCCGGAAGCAGGGCCTGTCGGCCTGTCCAGTGGCGTCCACGGCGCCCGCCCGGCCCTAGCGGCCTTGAGGCCCGCGGTCCGGGATGCACGCCGGACCATAAAGATGGCAGTTTCGCGCGTAAAACAGGGCCGGCAGGCAACGGCAGGCAACGGCAGGCAAAGGACAAAGGCGTACCGTTTCCGCGTTTCAGGACACGGCGCTGCGCGGCTTGCTGGGCGCTCAAGGCGGTGCGGGGTTGGCCGGCTGGCAGCGACGGTGACGCGCATGGGCGGCTGCAATTGGCTGGGCTGGCTGGGCGAGACGGGAAACGGCGCGCCGCACCGCGTCCGTCTACGTCCGTCGCGCTGGCCAATGCGCCAATGCATTGTCCATTCACCTATGGGCCAACCTGGCCAGCCCAACCCCGTGCCAGTGTGCCAGAAAGGTCGCCCCTCCAGCGGCACAGCCAGCTGACTCTCTCGCACTCATGGGCCGTTCCGTACAGGTGCGAGAGAGACAGAGCGAGGGGTGACGGGGCGTGGCGTCGCCTCACGACCGGCGCCCCCAAAGGTCATCGCCAGCCCGCTTGTATCAAACTCGGGAACCCTCGGCCAGAGCGCGCGTCGAGGAGGCGAAGGGAAACACGAGAGGAACAGCGCGGAAAATAAATCTGCGGCGGGGATTTGAACCTGGGATTGTTACTTCCACCACTGCAGGAACCGTATCGGCTCGGCGCGC